AAACAGTCGTAGATTGAAAATGACCAATTTATTATTGTTTTGTTTTGGAGGGATTATTATTAGGCTCTGTGTGGAGTAAGGAAACTTGCCCAAGGTTTCGCCCTCTGCCTGGAATTGAACTCAGGTCTCTCACTTGCAAAGCGAGTGCTCTAACCACTGAGCCACAGGACTCTACATGTCGCAATCCACATTGCGCACAGCAGTGTCCCACAAACAAACCCTAACGAACTGTCCGCAACATCGCCCGGCTCCACCGCAGTCTCATACCGCAGGCCGTCAAGATCCTTATACACAGCATCCAGGCTCGACTTCGCAAACTCCCTGCTTGTCGGGCTCCCCAGCTCCTCCCTCCATAGATTGCAGATCATCCAGAACTCTGCAACCTGTATCCTCTCCTGTTCCAGGCTCCGTGACCCTATCACCCCCATCCTCGCCCGACTCCACTGGCTTCCCATCACACAGAGGATACAGTTCAAGATCCTGGTCCTCACCTTCAAAGCCCTCCATGGCCTCACTCCCCCCTCCCTCCGTGAGCTCCTACAATAACAACTTCACTTATATGGCGTCCTCCACGCAGGGTAGCGTCTCAGAGCGCTTGAACCCTCTACCAACCTGTCTGCTCCCTCCACTCAACGGGCTCCAGCCTGCTTCAAGATCCCCCACCTCGCCCACCCCACCATTGGCGGGCGGGCCTTCAGCCACTCTGCCCCCACCCTCTGGAACTCCATCCTGCAGTCCCTCTGCCTCACCCGCTCCTTTGCCTATATAAATGCAAGTTGTTCTTGTTGTTACTCACGAAAACTAAACCAACAATCAACGAACAACCGGCTTCCTATTTCCTGCTAGGTAAACAGAGGTGTGTGGAGTGAGGAAACTTGCCTACGGTTTCACCCTGCCCAGGAATCCAATCCAGGTTCTCATGCTTGCGAGGCAAGTGCTCTAACCACTGAGCTACAGAACATTGCCTACGAAAAAACAGCCAACAGTATGACACAGCACACCGCTAGCCTGAAAGCCACCAGCTCCAGCCAGAGCCAGAAGCCCCCTCCAGCCCTGTTCTCCCCCCACTCTAGCCCCAGCCCTCCCCCAGCCCAGCATTGAGTGTCAGCCTTAAACACACAACCTTCTGATCCAGAAGCGAGAGTTAGCCAAGTTGACACGTCAGTCCACAAACATATACAACTACCCGTGAAAAAATAAATAGCTCCAGTTAGAAGACAGGCACTTGACGTCTGAGCGCCAGCGCAGACAACTTAGAGAAAGAGCAGGGAATGGGGTTAGAGTAGAGAGCTCCAGTGGGGGAGCGAGCCCCAGCATAGACATGAAGGGCTGAGTGACATCCATACTGGGTTTTTCTTCCTTGCTGTCTGAAAGAGTGATTATAAAACAAATCAAGTTATTTCTTCCTTAATGTAATATAAATAATTCAATCAAGGCGTCTCTTGAGTGTTTCCTTCTCCTTGCAGACGGATTACATTTGGCGAATAATTCAGAGCCCTCGAGAGCTGTGTCTGGTACGGATAGAATTTTCAGCTTCACATTCACGCAACGCCAACCTCCACTTAATGCTTACACATAACGTTCCAACACCCTCAGTTTGCATTTGATATAGTGCCTTATGACGTCTTCTAGACGTCTCAAAGTGCTTCACAAAACATTCCACAAAGTGTAGTAGTGATTGTGTGTTTTGTGGGCAAAAGGCAGCAGCCAATTGCGCACGGCAGTGTCCCGCAATAGACCGAGCCATAGCCAGTCGTAAATTATTTTATAATGTCTCAGAGTGCTTCAGAAAGTAGAGGCAAGGGGACATTTCAGAGGAGGGGAATTGAGAGCTTGTCTGAATTCCTCCCCCTATAATCTTGTCTGTGTTCAGACGCGGCCCGGAGTGCGAACACAGGCAAGATAAGTGGAGGCAGCAAAGGGAAGAGGTGGTGGTGGCCAGTTAGACTTCCGGGAATCGCAAGAAAACTGCACACAAGGAATTGAAAAAAAACGTTCAATATCACCTTCTAAATAATCCTTGCATTTGATATAGCGCTTTTCACGTCGGGAGGACGTCCCAAAGCGCTTCACAGAACACACTGTAAAGTGAATTGACTGTATATTTGTGGGCGAACGCGACAACCAATTGCGCACAGCAATGTCCCACAAACAGTCGTAGATTGAAAATGACCAATTTATTTTTGTTTTGTTTTGGAGGGATTATTATTAGGCTCTGTGTGGAGTAAGGAAACTTGCCCAAGGTTTCGCCCTGACCTGCCTGGGGTTGAACTCAGGTCTCTCGCTTGCAAAGCGAGTGCTCTAACCACTGAGCTACAGGACTCCACCTTCTCTGTTGAAAGGGCACAGAGAACACAAGAAGTTTCAGCAATGAATCAGAACGTTTGGTCCGTCAATCCTGCACCGCCCATTCCCTCCACACGACCCAATCTGACTCCTCACTCTCCTCTTCAATGATCTAAATTTGTGACCAATCTACAACAACAACAACATTCTAGAGAGCCATTTCAACCAGGCAATGCTGGCGATTTGGTCAATGCGCTGAATCGCATGATGGTTGTTGAAGTCTGTGTGGACAAAAGGAAGGAAGTTGCCGAATATAGACTGAAACTTCAGACAAGTGTGACAGAGTCGGGGTGTGCAGTGCACTTGTACCATTGAAGTAGAAATGGTACAAACAATAGGTGCATACATTTGAATACAGAGCCTTTCAAGTCAAGAGAACGTCTCAGTGTTTCACAAGATTTACAACAACAACTTGCATTTACACAGCGCCCCTCACACAGGGCAGCGTCCAGGGCGGTTGACAGTGGCAGAGCACGATGCCAAGCCAGAGGGAGGGGACCAAGGCACAGTCGGAGAGGAAGGTCTTCAGGCGCGACCTGAAGATGGGGCAGGAAGGGGCAAGGCTGAGGGATAGAGGGAGCAATTTCAGAGTTTCAGGCGTAGTGGCTCAAAGAGTGGCCACCGATCAATTGTACGGTGTCATGACTGCGTATTTCGTAGACAAACAAACCAACAGCCCGCAAAACAGCCATGAAGTGGCGAGGCGGGGCGGGGGGAGGAGAAATAGATGGTACAGTAGTGCCATGGGATCTTTAAAGTTCACTTCAACATATGGGGGTCTCTGTTTAAAGTCACACACGAAAGATGGCACCAACGACACTGCAGTGTTCCCTCTCCACCACCCCCCACCCTAAACCGCTGCACTGGGGCATCAGCATTCAAAGTCCACAGCGTATTTGGGGGATATTTACAAGGTGTTTGGGGGGGTATATTTTGAGGATGTTTTGGGGCTATTTACAGCTTGCTATGAGGGCTGTTTTAGGGTATTTAGAGGTGTTTATAGGGGTATTTTGGGGGTTATTTACAGGGTATTTACGAGGTATTGGGGGATATTCATGGGGTATTTTGGGGTGTATTTACAGCTTGTTATGGGGGTATTTTGGGGTGTATTTACAGTTTGTTATGGGGGTATTTTGGGGTGTATTTACAGCTTGTTATGGGGGTATTTTGGGGTGTATTTACAGTTTGTTATGGAGGTATCTTGGGGTGTATTTACAGCTTGTTATGGGGGTATTTTGGGGTGTATTTACAGTTTGTTATGGAGGTATCTTGGCGTGTATTTACAGCTTGTTATGGGGGGTATTTTGGGGTGTAATTACAGCTGGTTATGGGGGGTATTTTGGGGGGTATTTACAGCTTGTAATGGGGGTATTTTTGGGTGTAATTACAGCTTGTTATGGGAGTATTTGGGGGTGTATTTACAGTTTGTTATGGGAGTATTTTGGGGTGTATTTACAGCTTGTTATGGGGGTATTTTGGGGTGTATTTACAGTTTGTTATGGGGGGTATTTTGGGGTGTAATTACAGCTTGTTATGGGGGTATTTTGGGGTGTATTTACAGCTTGTTATGGGGGGTATTTGGGGGTGTATTTACAGCTTGTTATAGGGGTATTTGGGGTGTATTTACAGCTTGTTATGGTGGTTATTTTTGGGGGTATTTACAGCTTGTTATGGGGGTATTTGGGGGTGTATTTACAGCTTGTTATAGGGGGTATTTGGGGGGTATTTACAGCTTGTTATGGGGGTATTTGGGGGGTATTTACAGTTTGTTATGGGGGTATTTGGGGGGTATTTACAGCTTGTTATGGGGGTATTTGGGGGTGTATTTACAGTTTGTTATGGGGTATATTTGGGGGGTATTTACAGCCTGTTATGGGGGTATTGGGGGGTATTTACAGTTTGTTATGGGGTGTATTTGGGGGGTATTTACAGCCTGTTATGGGGGTATTTGGGGGGTATTTACAGTTTGTTATGGGGGTATTTGGGGGGTATTTACAGTTTGTTATGGGAGTATTTGGGGGGTATTTACAGTTTGTTATGGGGTGTATTTGGGGGTATTTACAGCCTGTTATGGGGGTATTTGGGGGGTATTTACAGTTTGTTATGGGGTGTATTTGGGGGTATTTACAGCCTGTTATGGGGGTATTTGGGGGGTATTTACAGTTTGTTATGGGGGTATTTGGGGGGTATTTACAGTTTGTTATGGGGGTATTTGGGGGGTATTTACAGCTTATGATGGGGGGTATTTGGGGGGTATTTACAGCTTATGATGGGGGTATTTGGGGGGTATTTACAGCTTGTGATGGGGGGTATTTACAGTTTGTTATGGGTGTATTTGGGGGGTATTTACAGTTTGTTATGGGGTGTATTTGGGGGTATTTACAGCTTATGATGGGGGGTATTTGGGGGGTATTTACAGCTTATGATGGGGGGTATTTGGGGGGTATTTACAGCTTATGATGGGGGGTATTTGGGGGGTATTTACAGTTTGTTATGGGGTGTATTTGGGGGGTATTTACAGCTTATGATGGGGGGTATTTGGGGGTATTTACAGCTTATGATGGGGGTATTTGGGGGGTATTTACAGCTTGTGATGGGGGGTATTTGGGGGGTATTTACAGCTTGTGATGGGGGTATTTATGGGCCTCACTCACCTCCTCGCACTCCTCTTTGATGGCGAAGCGGGTGGCGAGTAGGTCACAGAACTGGGCCATGCGGATGCTCTCCTCGCCGCGGGCCATGCGCTCCTCCAGCCAACGGATCAGATGGCTGTGGTGAAGCTGCACCACGTTCTCCGCCACCTCGTCCCGCACCCGAGCCGCCGCCTCCCGCAGTCGGTGTTGCTGTAGCAGCGCCTCGGGGCCCGGGCCGCAGTTCAGACTCAAGGCCGGGGCTGAGGCCTCGCTGTCCGGCCCGGCGCCGCCGCCGCTGCCCGAGGCCGGGAACCCGGCCGCGGGTTTGCCGGCTCCCCGCTCGGCCTCTTCCTCCTCTTCGTCCTCTTCCTCGGCGCAGTCGGGCTGCTCGGCCCCAGCGCTGTCCGCGTTACCCATCCCTCCGCCTCCTCCCCGGCGTCAGCGTCTCCCGCTCGCTCTGCCCGGCGGCCTGAGCTCCGGGGCCGCTTTCTGCCTCACTGCCGTAAACCGCCCCCCCACCGCCGTAAACCGTCTTCCGCCTGCCTCACTGCCGTAAACCGTCTTTCGCCTGCCTCACTGCCGTAAAGCGACTTCCGCCTGCCTCACTGCCGTAAAGCGACTTCCGCCTGCCTCACTGCCGTAAAGCGACTTCCGCTGCCTCACCGCCGTAAACCGTCTTCCGCCTGCCTCACTGCCGTAAAACGCTGCAAAGGTCAGTTTAAAGGGCTGATCAGAGGGTCAGGAATGGCATTTTCTGGTCTGGACACTCTCTGCTGTTCCCGATGGTCAGAGTCCCGCTCCAGACTGACTGCTGCCCCCACCCCCCACCCCCCACCCCCAGAAATCAGGATCCAGATACATTTTTGAAAATGGTTACCTTTGTTTTATTCATCGATATTAATGTTAAATAATGTGTATTGGCCACAAATTACGCAGTCACTACATTTTGCAGTGTATCCTGTGAAGCGCTTTGAGACGTCTCGACAATGTAATAAGCCGCCGTGTCAAATGCAAGTGTTGTTATAATTATTATTTACTGCCAATTGTAATCCTTGTGTTTGATACGGCCCCTTATCAAGTCGTCAGGACGTCTCAAAGCGCTTCACAGGATGCACTGTAAAGTGTAGTAACTGTGTACTTTGTGGGGGAGACGCAGCCAACAGTTTGCGCACGGCCACGTCCCACAAACAGCCATGGAGTGAGTCACCAAATTTATAATTGCTGTATAAGCAAACACACTTTTATAAATAACATTATTTTTGGCAGCCCTGTCTCACCCCACAGCCGCCAAAACCCTCATACATACATCCAGGCTCGACTGCAAACTCCCTGCTGTCGGCCTCCCCAACTCCTCCCTCCATAGACTGCAAGTCATCCAGAACTCTGGCCTCTCCCGCACCGGGCTCCGTGACACTGTCACCCCCATCCTCGCCCGACTCCACTGCCCTTCCATCCCACAGAGGATACAGTTCAAGATCCTGGTCCTCACCTCCAAAGCCCTTCATGGCCTCACTCTCCGCAACCTCTGCGACCTCCTAACCCCCTACCACCCTGCCCGCTCCCTCCGCAAGGCTCGGGTCCGAAACTCTGACTGTCCAGCGCTCCCGACCTGAAAGGCACTTTACAAATGTATTTTTTGTTGATTGTTGCTGTCAGCTCAGAGGCTGTGACTTTAAGACTTGGGGGAAACTGGTAACCAGGAAACTGAGAGAATGCACTGAGAGACGGGCGGACGGGAGCCGTGGCTCTGGCTGCAGTTCTGGCTGCAGCTGTGGCTCTGGATGTAACTGTGGCTCTCTCTCCCCTTCCCAATGCTGTAGCTGTGGCTGTAGTTCTGATGTAGCTTTGGTGTGATTCTGGCTGTAGCTGTAACTCTCCCCCCCCCCCCCACCCCCTCTCTCTTCCCCGATGCTGTAGTTCTGGCTCTGGCTATAGTCCTGGTAGCTCTGGCCCTGGTGTAGTTCTGGCTGTAGTCCTGGTGTAGCTCTGGCTATAGTCCTGGTGTAGTTCTGGCTCTGGTTGTAGTCCTGGTGTAGTTCTGGCTGTAGTCCTGGTGTAGTTCTGGCTGTAGTCCTGGTGTAGCTCTGGCCCTGGTGTAGTTCTGGCTGTGGCTGTAACTCTCCCTCTCTCTCTCCCGATGCCGTGGTGGCGGCTCGCTCTCTGCCTCCTGTGTGGCTTGGCAGCGCTGCTGATCGGTTCGGAGCTGCCGGGCTGGTGGCGGGTCAGGTCAGGGTCTCTGGTCGCTCCCCGGTGCCGGCTGTACAGTCGGTCTGAGCTGGGGCTGTACGGAGGGCAGCCGGGCAGCGCCGGCCTCTACCTGGCTCTGCTCGGGCAGGTGTTCGATGTGAGCAAAGGCAGCAAACACTACGGCCCCGGAGGCTCCTACAGCGGCTTTGCAGGTACCACAAGCAGCAACGATCAATAATAATGATCAATAATAACGATTAATTATTATTATTAATAATTACCCCCCCACACACACCTCACCAACCACAATAACAATTCACTTTACGGGGTATCCTGTGAAGCGCTTTGAAGCGTCTCGAAGACGTGATCAGGCTCGACATCAAATGCAAGGATTATTATTTTTATTACGACAACAAATTCCATTTACATGGCACCATTTCGGCTCAGGAGATGTCCCAAAGCGCTGTGTGGGTTGGGATCGAGATCCAGGGGCGGAATAAAAAGCCTGGCGATGCCCCTCCATCACTGCCCCTCACTGTAGCATCTGAGCACAGTATTGGTTTGCGCCTGTGTCCATGTGTGTGTCCGCGTGTGTGTATGTGATGGTCTATGTACTGCCCTGTCACATCAAGACATGTATTGGTTGCATGCGTGTATGTATATGGGTTTGCGTGCGTGTGTATAAGTGCAAGTTGTTGCTTTGAGTAAGATCATGAGCTTCGTTACAGTGAGCGCAACTAAGATTTTTCCTGACATTTGAGCGACTGTGTATTTTTGGGGCGAAACACAGCAGCCAATTGCGCACAGCAGTGTCCCACAAACAGTCGTAGATTGAGCGAACAAATTATTATTGTATTGGGGGGAGAGGGGATGATTAGCTCCGGAAAAGTGATCCGCCAATCGACTAACAGCCGGGTTCCTACTTACCGCTGGGTAAACAGACACGTGTGGAGTAATGAGGTTCCACGCTGCCCGGGAATTGAACCCGGGTCCTCTCGCTTGTGAGGCGAGTGCGCTAATCAACATGCTACAGGAATCCAACAAATCTTAAATTAACACCGTCAGTATGACAGGGAATCAACAACAACAACGTGTATAGCGCCTTTCACGTCGGGAGGACATCCCAAGGCGCTGGACAGAGTACAGCATTTCAGACCCGAGCTGGGGTTGGGGGTGGGGATGGGGAGGGGGGGTGGCCGATGGCATGGTCGAAGCGGGACTTGAAGGAGGCTGAGGATGGGGCGAGGAATCACAACGATGATTCGAGCTCCGGGAGTTGATCGGGTTCTGCTGTTGTTCACAGGAACTGACGCCTCTCGAGCGTTTGTGAGTGGGGACTTCAGTGAGGCCGGGCTGGTGGAGGACGTGGATGGATTGTCGCCTGCGGAGATCCTGGCTCTCCAGCAGTGGCTCGTCTTTTACCAGAGAGAATATGTTTTCAAGGGTCAGTGCAAGCGTTTAATCATCTGTAAATAAACCGTCTTCCTCTCTTAGTTTTGATCTTAAATTAATTCTCTGGAACTCCATCCCGCAGTCCCTTCGCCTCGCCCCCTCCCTCGCCTTTCGAACTCCCTGCTGCCCGCCCGCCACCCTCCCCGATCCCGACCCCCAGCTCAGGAACAAAACTGTCTGTCCAACTCCTTGGGACGTCCTCCTGACATGAAAAGCGCTTTACACATATAATTTTGTTGTTGTAATGTCTGTGATTAGCCGGTGTTGTGTGTCCCTCTCCTCTCCGCTCCCAGGCACTGTGGTGGGGAGCTATTACGACCAGGATGGGGAGCCCACACCCGCCCTGAGGGCCGTGGAGTTGGCGGTGGCTCAGGGCCTGAAGGACAAGGTGAAGGCGGAAAGAGAAGCCAGGAGATTCCCTCCCTGCAACTCCGAGTGGAGCGCGGCCACCGGCGGCAGAGTCTGGTGCTCAACACACAGGTCAGCAATGCTCGTGTCCATCGGCAGTTAACCCTTCAGGCTCTCTGTGCCCCTCTCCTGCACCTCACCCCTTCCCTCAACCCCCTCCATGGTCCCGCTCAAAGACTCAGGGGGTTTGTACCGAGCTGTGGGTTAGGATCAGGGAAGGGTGGACGACAGGGAGGGAAGATGACCCAAGGCACGGTTGAAAACTAATCTTATTTATTAACCTTAATCACAGTTATTGGCAGTGATTGTTTTGCTGGTGGGGGTGGGGGGGGGGAGGAGAGAGAGAGAAGGAAAGGCAAAGGAACGAGCTAAAGGCACTCGCTAGCCAACAACAACTTGCACGCAACGTAGCGTCCCAGAGCGCTTGTCCAATGATTCACCTACGAATCACAGTCCCAGATGCCATATCGAATGTGCGGATTGTTAATTGTGATGCTCTGTTGTTTCTCAGTGGCGGAGTGGAGAGGAGTTGGGTGGGGGTCCCACGCCAGCTGTACCAACCCGGCTCCACCACCCCTCGCTGTGTGTGTACACGGACCACCGGCCTCGCCTCAGAGCACCCAGGGGGAGGGGCAGCCACCAGCAACCGCGGAGACCTGGAGAACCCCACTCTGCGGGAGTACGAGGGGTGTGACAGCCAATCACCTGTGTGTGCCATCCCGGAGAGATAGTGCTGATGGCGGCTGAGAGACAACTCTGGTGTCAGATCAATTGTGGCTTTGGGACGAGGGAGGTGTGGAGATCGTTTCATTAAAATGACATTAAAAGGAGACGAGTCCACAGAATGGGACAGTGAATTAAGCCCAAAGGGTCCTGTCCTGATCTGCAATGTGTGAGAGAATTTATCAGCCTGATGTAGCCATCTTCCCGAGCCAAACGAGGTGAAGGCCATTAAATCAGGTGGATTGTCGGCCGGGACACCGGCAGAAACCGCCCCCGGCTCCCAAACAGTGTTGAGAAATCTTTTACCGTCCAAGTGTAGATTATTAATTAATAATCCTTGCATTTGATACAGCGCCTTATCACATCTTCGAGACGTCTCAAAGTGCTTCACAGAATATACTGTAAAGTTAATCGATTGTATATTTTGTGGGCAAAACGCGGCAGCCAATTGCGCACAGCAGCGTCCCCACACACAGTCGTGGATTGAAGTGATCAAATTATTATTTTTTTTTGGAAGAGATTTTTACCCCTGGAAAGCAATCCGCCAATTTACTAATAACCGGGTTCCTACTTACTCCTGGGTAAATGGAGGCGTGTGGAGTAAGGAAACTTACACTGTTAATGAAACAGGTTAATATCTCGATTTGTGAAAAACGCAGCAGAAAACACACTTTTGATAGAAAACAAAACACGTTGCACCGATAACACCACTGCGCATCGCAGGCGGGAGGGCGGGCAGCAAGAATCACATCAGACAGCGGTTAGCAAAGAGACTGTATTGATTATCAGGTCTACATTGTTTGTAGCAACATTTCGGGCAATTTGTGAACATCATAGTGCTACATCAACAGCTTCACTTTAACACCATGAACAGGAGTAAAAGACACCACTGCCGGAAGGATCACAGGGCTGTTTGTGCATCCGGTTCCCAATGTTAGTGCAAACAATTCGGCCGTTAGTAAAAAAAAAACAACAGATCCTTTCCTAATACTGAACAGCGCCTGGATTTACAGCAGCAGCTTTTTCATTGTAAAAGGTCTGTAACCAGCACCTCAGCCACTGAGCAGCTGACCTCGGAGCAAAGCCTCGGGCTCCTCTCCTCATCATCGAGAAACTCACTTCTAGTTTAACGTCCAAGAGAGAGAGAGAGAGAGAGAGATTCGGACAAAATAAAACAAACAATATTTTGCGGAATAGAAGTAAAATGAAAGGAGAAGCACTAGAGTGTATTGAGAAGACAGTCAAGACCTTGCAGTAAGGTGGTTGGAAGGGGGTGAGGGGGGTGGGAGAATGCTGTTGTGGGTTAAAGCTCACCTCAGTGAGGAAGGATTCAGGGCAAAATGATGTTGTTGCTTTGGACGGGGTTGTGAGGACAGAGTGTGTGAGACTCCAGGTCGCTCATTTCCCCAAGTTTCCTTCAACACTGCCATTCGAGTCTCCGCTACAGTGCACATGGTTTACACTGACCCATGTAACGGAGGAGAGGAGCCCACACACCTTCCCACAGTGAGCAAACCAACCCTTTCAATGCTCCACATTGCAACAAAGACATTATTTGTTCTTTTAGGGCACCACATTGCCAGGAAATCTCACACACCACACACACACACACTCGGTTGGTGGGGTGGGGGGGGGGGGTAATAATATCCTAGTGTTCTTGTAAGTATCCAGTACCCCATAAAACGATCCCTGTCTCACTGCCGAGACTCTGACCGTAATCCAGTCATTTCAAATCCAATGTATCCCTCAACTGGGAGACAATCCGGGGATGCGATTGAGCCGGTCAGCTCACAGGGGACGCTGCCCATTGACATGACTTGACCTCTAACCACTCAGCCCAGCACCAACCCGGGTTTAAACATCCTGACTGGTTTGAACGGGGGTGGCTCTACGGTAGAGACCCCGAGAGCAGCAGCACGCAGGCAGGTTAGACCGGGGGAGACAGACCGCACAATTCCGGTCCGACTCGAGACTCGAACAGAGAGATAAAGTTCACACAACTTTCCCAGAGCGGGTTTAGCTGAGCACCGATTGCGCAAGACAAACTGTAGTGGATTTTGGAATGAATTTTATACAATAATTGATGATACTTTTTAAAAATAAAAAAAAACTTATCACAACCGAGTATCACTCGGGTTGGAACCAGTTTTAGCCCCAAACTCACAAGGTGTAACAGCTCCCATTTGTGCTGACATTTGAGATGAGGATTTAAACTGTAATGGCAGGCAGCGCGTTAAAGGTTCCCTCCCCTTGTAAATCCCCCCCTTTGATTTGCAGGCAGTATTTGCTGCATCACACCATTATTCCAACATTGGGATCACCAGAAGATTCTGGGAATGGGCAGAAAAATGCCAAATTCCAGGAATTGGTCCACGCACCTTGGAGTCTAATATTTCCAAACCGGAATGTCGTGTTCAACTTAACGTGACATCAGAATGTGAGATGAATAGGTGGCCCCCAAATTAATCCATCAATACAGGAATCCAGGGCAGGCGAGCGAGCGAGCGAGCTCACAGCCAACACCATGACAGCCTCCGAGTCATCAATGTCAGAGTTTAAACCAGTCACCACCACAGACATACACACAAAGCTTCCAGCTAACCAGTGGGCAATTACTATCAAACCCAGCACCACCAAACCTAAACCAATGTTGCTCTGTTGTCTAACGTGCTACATTCTGATAGTCTAACCCCCCTCCCCCCCCCGCCCACCCGCACACACACACAATCTTTGTGCATCCAATACAGCATTGAAGACAAGACACCAATTGTATCACCTGGTCCCAAGTTATTTAAAAAAAATACAAACAGGAAACAATCAGGATTCCTTTAAGTGTTGTAGTTCTTTCCCAACCCGCAATCTTTAGGGAAAAACAAAGTAAGAATTTAGTGTTCAGAGTCTCCACCCCACCCCCTACATACATAAACCTTGCCATATACATTCATACGCTGTCTATGATTCAACCCGGTCGTGTGACAAGTGAAGATTACACTGGTCAGTGAAGTGATGAGGTCTGGTGACTCTCAACTCCGCAGATTTCCTATCTAACAAGACTCTGCCCATGTCCCCGCTCAACACTGATAAGCCAAGTGTGGACCAAAATCTGATGGCGTCAATCAAGAAGGGACACTTTGATAGCAAGGCGAGGGGGCGGGGGGAAGGGAGGGGGGAGTGGTGGTGGAAAGTAAATAGAGTGCGTTAATCTGGGGTTAAAGTGTAAAAATTCCTAGACATAATATGATAGAGAGGTGAAGCACGAGACGCAAGAGGGTCTTAACCTTGATACACTACTCCGGTTTAACCAGACAAGCCGACTGGTGGATTATAGTCAGCTCACACCCAGATCAGCTCGAAACAGCCAGAGCTCAATTCACATCGACTCTCAATGGCTGGATATCCATCGCCCACCCTTCGATCCATCCATCCATCCATCCATCCCGCTCGCCCGCCCGCTCTCCATCACGACCGAGTCTGCTAATACACCGACAATCAATGAGCATAATTTCAATGTGAGTAACAGGAGCTGGTCTGCCCGTTAGCCCTCTCCCTGGCGCAGGTGCTGTCAAAGCCGCTGGGCTTTGCTGCTGAAAGACGAGAAGCAAGACTGCGTCGCTCCGGGTGGTGGTGGGTGGGAGGGTGGGTGGTGGGTGGGGGGGGGGGCTGCACTAGGAAACCCCTCCCAGCGTCAGCACATCAAAGCAAATGTCGCACACGCGCACCGGCTTGTTCAGGTCAAACTTGATGATGGGGATTTCCTTGGTGGAGCATTTGTGACACAGGAGACGGCCACAGTGACGGCTGAGAGAGAGAGAGAGAGAGAGAATAAGTCAAAGGCTCAAAACATCTTAGATTTGAAGCCACGTCACCCTTTTACAAAGATCAAGTGGAGCCCGCAGGCCTCCTCCCTGCTTTAGAGATTATACATTGTATTTCAATACCCACAAAACACAGTCACTACATTTTCACCAACGCGAATCAAACGTAAGGAAAGTTAATGTCCTGCCCGGCTAACGTCATTCAACAGGTAGACGTTTAACCCTGCACCCAAACCACCCCAACAAGGCTCTGTGTTAGAGAGTGAGAGAGTGAGAGAGAGAGAGCAAGCGCCATGGCACTGACCAGTGGTGTTTCCGGGTAGTGACTCCAAACTTGGCCACACACTCAAAGCAATTGGACCCATCGCACCACGGCGGTTCCTTGGACAGCATGTCTGAAACCAGATTCACCTCAGCGTCACCGCAGCAACTCACCGTCCCACCCCACATCATCCCACACCGTTTCCCAGCCCCCCACCAACACACCGCTCCCCTCCCCCACGCCCCCCCCAGACCCCCGCCCCTGCGCAAAGCAAGCTTCTTCAGCACAGTCACACAACTCCTCCATAGACTCCCCGCAGGTCACCAACCATCTTAGTCTTGGTTAAAAAAAATGCAGCGTTGGTGTCCATATTGACCAGGAGCTGTGAGCCTGGGCTACACTGCACGTCAGCGAGGCAGTGATCAGTAACTGGCACAGTCTGACACTTTCCCCACAAAACCTCTCACCACCAGCAGCAGATACCGCACAAAGTCTAATCAATACAATACAGCCAACAGGAAACACACAGTAACATCTACTCTGAACAATTTCCCTAATTCCCTTTTGTTCCTGGAGATCATTTTAAACACAGTGATGGCTTCTGCTTCCTGAGGGCAGAGCGACCCACCCTCTAACCCACCCCCTCACCCTCCCCGGCTGGCACTGCGGATTTATTTATCACCCAATTCCAGCCCTCGGTGACGTTAAACCAAGCGCAGCAAACAGACAAAGCCCCGAATCACACGGCAATGCCTCTGAGAGTGAGGCGAGTGGGTACCTAGAAGCCGGAAGAGCAGCTGTTTGGTGGCCACCTGGTAGTTGAATATGTTGGTGCCCTGATTGTTGTTGACGCCCAGTCTGGCCCCGGCTCGTACAATAGCCCGGCACAGGTTTGCGTTTCCCTTCATGTAGGCGAGCAGCAGCACTGCGAGGAGACGCACACAATTACAAAGTTCAGTCATTGCATCTCACAACAAATCCTGTGAAGCAACAGTTGTGACAATGTTCAGCGCTGGGTGTTATGAATGAGAAACAAAACCCCAAAACGCAATGTAAACAGGGTTCCTTTGCCAACACCTGGTACCTCCTGTAGCTCAGTGGTTAGAGCACTCACTTCCCAAGCGAGAGGACCTGGGTTTGATTCCCGGGCAGGGCGAAACATTGGGCAAGTTTCTTTACTCCACACGCCTGTTTACCTCGCAGTAAGTAGGAACCCGATTGTTAGTCGATTGGCGGATCGCTTTTCCAGCTATAATTTCTTCAAAAAAAAACTTGGTCGCTCAATCCACAGCTGTTTGTGGGACGCTGCTGTGTGCAATTGGCTGCTGTGTTTCTCCCACAAAATACAGTCAGTTCACTTCACAGTATATCCTGTTAAGAGCTTTGAGACGTCTCGAAGACATGATAAGCCGCTGTATCAAATGTAAGGCTTATTATTATTATTACCCGTGTTGCCCTCGGAGTCAGGCTTGTCCAGTGGGTACTCGGGCATGCACTCCAGGAACAGCTCGAAGATGGTGGCTGCGTTCTCCTTGCCATAGTGGCCGAGGACGTGCATGGGCGACTGGCCCCTGAGGGAAAAATCACAGCGTCTCACACACAGTCAACAACAACCTGCATTTACACAGCGCCCCTCAAGCAGGGCAGTGTCCTTGATAGTGGCGGAGCACGACCCTGATCTGGGGGGAGGGGGAGGTGATCGTAGGCACGGTCGAATAGGAAGGTCTTCAGGCGCGACCTGGTGATGGTGAAGGGCAAGGCGGAGGGATAGAGGAAGAGTAATCCAGAGTTTTGGGGCGTAGGAGCTGAAAGAGTGGGGGAAATGGAGGGCACTGGGAACATGCAGAAGGCCAGAGCAAGTCGAGCGAAGGCAGCGGGTTGTGGGGTAAGCAGGTCGGAGAGATAGGGGGGTACCAGAGCACGAAGGGATTTGAAAACGAGTGCGAGGATCCGAGTCAGAACGCCTCAGCAACTTTCACAGGAAAGGGTTACCAAACATCAAGGCCCTGCTGTAGGAAAACGCAAACGATTTGTGCACAGCCTTGCCCCACGAACAACCACGAAGGGAATGGCTGGTTATCAGCACATCACTGGGCAGGACGCCAGGGGATAGAAGGACCTGCTCTCTTCTAATAAGTGCCATGGGATTGTTGGCACCCACACAGCTGTTTAGATGAACAGTTTGATTATATCATCCAAAAGGATGGTTGGCACCTTCAACAACACAGCGGGTTCCCCCTTTGCCCCCAGTATTGGAGCATCAGCCTGGACCGTGAGCTCAAAAACCCCCACCTCAACCTTCTGGGTGGAGGAGGGCCAGCGCGACACCAGCTAAGACTGTCAGAGAGAAGTAGCAGTGAGGCATGTTTGTGGAATCTCCTGCTGTGATCACAATTTACCAAGTTGTTGAGCCAGATGCCGTGCAGATTAGCGAGTTACAGAGCTAGAGTTAGAGGCTGGCCTGGGCTGAACCCGTCCCTACCTCAGGTTAAAGGCCTCAGCGTCGATGCTGGATTCGGTCAGGAGTACACGTACCACGTTGAGACGGCCGTGCATGACAGCCAGGTGTAGGGCTGGAGGAGAGAACGTTAACAAGGGTCAGGGGGCAAAGCCGCGAGCAGTTAGCAGCACAGCGAGGAGATCTTTACAGTTAGCCTCTGAACAGCCTCTTATGTTTAGCGCGTAGGTGCATCTCAAAGCTCTTCACAGGATAAACAGTCAAGTGGATTGTGTATTTTGTGGGTGAAACGCGGCAGCCAATTGCGCACAGCAGTGTCCCAAACAGTCGTGGATTGAGTGACCAATTTTTTTTTGTGTGGGGGTGGGATTATTACCCCCAGAAAGCGATCCGCCAGCCACCCAACAACCAGATTCCTATTTACTGCCAGGTAAACAGAGGCGTGTGTGTCTCTGCCCTGCCCGGGAATCGCACCCAGGTTCTCTCACTCCCAAGCCGAGCTACACTGCAGGACTCCAGAACTGTGGGCAGTCGCTCCAGTCGCGACACCTTCGCTTCGATAGGATTCAGCGCTTAGAACAGAAAGGTTTACCGGAGCCACGCTGGTCTCCGGGCGCCGAGCTGGACTGGGGGCCCACTTACCGTTGTTCCCGTTCTCGTCCACAGCGGCGTATTCCACGGCGTTCTCCAGGAGCACGGAGCAGATGGTCGGCAGGTCGTGCTGAGCCGCCAGGTGCAGCGCCGTCTGCCGATGCTTCGTCAGCTCATTCACCGCAGCCCCGGCGAGCAGCTGTGAGGAGGTAACACATAGAGCGAGGCTTAATATTAATACTAATACTTGATATTGATATAGCGCTCTATCACATCGTTGAGATGTCTCAAAGCGCTTCACAGGATATACTGTAATGTACAGAGGAATAACATTTGCAAACCTCCAGCCCTCTGGCACCACCCTGGTGTCCAAGGAGGATTGAAAAATTGTGGCCAGAGCCTCCGCTATTTCCTCCCTTACTTCCCTCAGTAACCTAGGATGCATCCCGTCCGGGTGACTTATCTACCTTGAGCGCTGACAATCTTTTTAGTATCTCCTTTCGGTTTATTTTTATCCTATCCAATTTCTCTACCCTCTCCTCCGATACTGGGGCATTGGCTGCATCCTCTTTCAGTACATCAGCCATGCCCTCTGCCTCCACAGGTTTCCTCTTTGGTTGCTAATTGGCCTCACCCTACCTTTGACTAACCTTTTATTCTTTATATGCTTACAAAATACTTTAGGGTTTCCTTTTATGTTACCCACTAACCTTTTTTCATACAATCTCTTATCTCCTCTTTTAGTTTTCCTCTGTACTTACTGCTGGGTAAACAAAACAAACCAAGCTTCTGTAACAAAATTGTATGTTACAAACTTCTCAAACGAAATAATTAGCGATAGTCAGTCAGAGCACAGAAGCAGTGCCATCCCCGGCTCTCACCAGGTTACGGACGATGATCTCTGAGCCGGCCTGCACGGCGAGGTGCAGGGGCGTGAGCTTGGAGATGTCCTGCACCCTCGAGTTGACATTGGCCTGAACGCTGATCAGGAACAGTACGCTCTCAATGTCCGAGTTCTGAACAGCAATGTGAAGGAAGTTCCTCCCCTTGTTATCAACCTGGTCGTGTGTGTGGGGTGGGGGGGGGGGGGGGGCGGGTGGAGAGAGGTGAAGAAAAATTAGATCTTAACAATGATAATTTTAATAATCTTAATAATGATAATTTGCATTTGGTTTAACGCCTTATCACGTTGTTGAGACGACTCAAAGCGTTTCTCAGGATATGCTGTAAAGTGAAGTGACTGTGTATTTTGTGGGCGAAACGTGGCAGGCGATTGCCCACAGCAGTGTCCCACAAGCAGTCGGGGATTGAGTGACCACTTTTTTTTTTTTAAAAAGTCATAAAAAACCCAAGACTCCCTCACCGCCACCGCCTGAGTGGGCTCCAGGCGGAACAGCACAGGAGCCTCGTCGGTAAGAACCCAGGCACCGCGCACACGCAGACCGCCCGTGCTGTACGTACACAGGGTCCCTCCGCGTCCTCACCTGCTCCGCTGCTCCCGACTCCCGCTTCAGGATGGATTCCGCGGCCTTGTTGTTCTTGTAGGTCATCGCGCAGGCAAAGGGGGTCATGCCCTGCCGGTCTCGCACACTCAGCCGGATTTCGGGATGGGAGATCAGGAGCTGGATGATGATGCTGTGCTGGTTGCTAATGGCAACATGGATTGGCGTTCTTCCCTCAGCATCCTTTTATTTTCCCCCCAACACACAAACAAGAACATTAGAGCAGCCAGTCGAAAAAAAGACCAGCTCCATCTAGTTCACCTTCCACCTTCCTGGCGGTCGCTTAAACATATGTCCCAAACTACCTCTGTACTAGTGAACTACCACACAAACCCCCCCCACCCCTCCCCACACACACACACGAAAATGTTTCCAGTCAAAACGCAACAGGCCTCCCGCAACTGTACAAGAGCTCCCACATAACAATAAAATCCTTGCATTTGTTATAGCTCCTTGTTGATAAGTCTCAACGCTCCTCACAGGATATACTGTAAAGAGAATTGACTGTGTATTGGGTGGGTGAAACGCGGCAGTCAATTTGCTCACAGCAGCGTCCCACAAACAGTCGTGACGTGAACGAACAATTTTATCTGGGGCAGTGGGGGGGGTGGCCATTGTTGACCTCGTTCGGGACAGAGGACAAGGAGCAAAGAGAGAGAGAGAGAGAGACACACACACACAAAAATCTGAAGTTATTTAAATTTAAAAGGAAACCATTTTGTCCTTTAAAAACCAATCCGTGAGCAGAAGCCGTCTGACTCTGTCAGTGACACTGACCTGAGAGTTGACGTTGGCAGCGAACTCCAGGAGACATTGCACCACCTCCTCCAGGCCCCAGCTGGCCGCCATGTGCAGCGGAGTCTGCCCGTCATGGGCCTCCTCCTCCCCCTCCCCGCTGGGGCCCGGCCTCCGAGGGCTGTTCACGTCGCAACCGCTGCAGATGGGGAAACGCAGCTCGGTGAGCGCCATTCCTTACCTGACACTCCTGTCCTTGCTTTCTCACTTTGCTTACCGACAGTAGCCCCGTCAGGTAAAGCCGAGCGAGTGAACAACAACCACTTGTACTTATACAGCGGCCCTCACGCGGGGCAGCGGCCAAGCCGGGGGGGATACGGTCGAAGAGGAAGGTCTTCAAGTGCGATCTGAAGACGGTGAAGGAGGAGCCGAGGAGGAGGGATTGAGGAAGAGTGTTCCAGAGTTTTGGGGCGGAGTGGCTGAAAGCACAGCCACTGATAATGGAACGGAGGGCACGAGGGACAAGTGAGCAGAGACAGCGGGTGGCGGGTTGGGGAGTAAGCAGGTCAAACAGGTAGGGAGGTACCAGGGTGTGAAGGGATTTGAAAACAAGTGTGAGGATCTTGAAATCCATGTGTCCGGTGTTAGGGAGCCAGTGGAAACTGGCGAGGACTGGTGCGATGGGGGTACGGAGTTCATGATGAGGGTAATGGTGGGGGAGCAGACCTGCGGATGAGGAAGCAGCCAGTGTTCTCGTTGTTCTCGTCGATGGCTCGGTGCAGCAGAGTCTGCAAACACCCCCCCGGCCCTGGTCCCCAACTGGTCGCATCACAGCCATGTCGCACCTGGAAACACAAATATATTTTGTCATTGTGGTTTCAAAGAGTCTGATAATATTTGTCAGGTCAGGGTATCAAGGGATATGGGGCAAGGGTGGATAATTGGAGTTGAGGTACAGGTCAGCCATGATCTTATAGAATGGCGGAACAGGCTCGAGGGGCTGAATAACCTACTTCTATTTCTATGTTATTACTTGACATACACACACACACACGAGAGAGAGTGTGAGAGGGTTGGGTGGGTGGGGGGGGGTGGAACTGGGGGCTTGTGGAGTAGTATAAACAGCGGCATGGACTAGTTGGGTCGAATGGCCCGTTTCTGTGCTATCACTCTACATAACTCTTCATTTCACAATTCCGGTTAAAAAAAAATAATCTCAGTTATGCAGGAGCTGAATCTACGTTCGCAGGCGAGGTTTGGTAACTCTGTCCCCGCTCTCCACTCCAACACAGTAACTTTCCTGTGCTTAAACAACAACTTGCATTTATACAGCATTTCAAAGTGCTTAACAATGGCAGAGCCTGACGCCGAGCTGGGGGGGGGGAAGGGTAGAGGTGACCATAAGCACAGTAGCAGAGGAAGGTTTGCAGAGGGGAAGGAGGGGGCAAGTCCAAGAGATTGAGGGAGAGAACTCCAAATCTTCGGGGCGCAGAATTACCCTGTGTTACACGGCCCATGTCACATGGCCCACTTGGCGGTCAGTGGTCAGCTCACCAAAGTGGAAGCGATGTCCTCGAGCCCACTCTCCAACGCTAGCCACAGGGGCACGCTCCCCTTCTCATCCGGCACAGCCATGTCAGCACCACGGGTACAGATAGCATCGACCACGAGCGGGAGCTGGTTCTTGATGGCCAGCTGGAGCCCCGTCTCCCCGTCACGGGTCCTATCAGGAATGAAGGAAAAGCAGGAACGTCAGGAGATGGAAAGTCGGCACAGGAGGTAATGGAAAGTAGATTAGAAGTGAGTGAGAGAGAAAGAGAGAGTGAGTGAGAGATAGAGAGAGAACCCATCAGCCTGCATTTATACCAAGGTCAGATTCATGAGGATCTCTACAGTTTAGAAATGACATTAATTAGAAATAAAGTTGGGGAGGCAAACAGCAGCATGGACACACACACGCAGGTAAGTGTAGATTAGTGTGTGTGCGTGCGGGGGTTGGAGAGAAAAGAAAGGAAAAATAAAAGACAGGACGTTACGAATCGCTCCCGAAAGCAAAGATTCTGGGCTCTGGTAAGAACATCAGGGTAGAGAGAGATGACCTGGGCCAGGGAACTCACCGCACATTGATATCAGCCTGGTGCTCAAGGAGGAAGAGAGCGCTCTTGCTGTCCTGTCTCTGAATGGCCATGTGCAGCAGGGTCTGGCCATCAGGCATACTGTCATTGATGGCAGCTCCCGAGCCCAGCAGCTGTGCTGCTATTTTGTGCATCCCTGCCAGAGCACACACAGTCATGAGGGGAGCTCAGCCAACAACCCGCAGTTCACACTAAACACACGTACACACACAGCAATGCCTGAACTACAGAAAATCACCCTCTTTGCTTCCACAGCATATTCTCCATTAAAAAGTGGATGAATAATAGTAATAATCCTTGCATTTGGTACAGTGCCTTATCACGTCTTCTAGATGTCTCAAAGCGCTTCACGGAATAGACTGTAAAGTGAATTGACTGTATATTTGTGGGCGAAATGCGGCAGCCAATTACGCACAGCAGCGTCCCACAAACAGTCATGGATTGAGTGACCAAATTGTTATTATTATTATTTTTGGAGGGATTATTATCCTCGGAAAAACAACTCAGTTCCTACTTATAAAATAATAATAATATTCCTTGCATTTGATATAGCGCTTTTCACATCGGGAGGACGTCCCAAAGCGCTTCACAGAACACACTGTAAAGTGAATTGACTGTATATTTGTGGGCGAACGCGGCAGCCAATTGCGCACAGCAATGTCCCACAAACAGTCGTAGATTGAAAATGACCAATTTTTATTATTGTCTTTAGTTTTGGAGGGATTATTATTAGGCTCTGTGTGGAGTAAGGAAACTTGCCCAAGGTTTCGCCCTCTGCCTGGAATTGAACTCAGGTCTCTCACTTGCAAAGCGAGTGCTCTAACCACTGAGCTACAGGACTCCACTTACTTACTTCTAGGTAAACAGAGGCGTGTGGAATAAGGAAACTTGCCCTACGTTTCGCCCTGCCGGGGAATCAAACCTAGGTCCTCTCCCTTGCGTGCTCCAACCACTAAGCTACAGGACTCCTGAACTAAGTGGAATACACATCAAACGGTGTAACTGCCATTTGATACTGTGTGCGAGCGTTCCCTAGTAAAACCGTCTCCAGCACATCAAGAAGATGGGTTTGAGGGAGTCGAGGATTATAATTCCAATTAATTTAAAATCCCCCCACACTCCCCGTGCTCGGTTACCTGTCCACAGCGCCAGTCCCAGTACTGTCTGGTCTCTGGAATCTTTCAGGCTGAAGTCAGGAATGATTTGCAGGTTATTCGTGGCGTGAAGTGCATTTGCTGAGTTGATGTAAACACAAAAAGAGTCAGTTTTCCCCTCCCTTCTTACTTTGACAGGTTAGAAACCACAGCACCCCCTTTATTAATAACAACAATAATATTCCTTTTGAATTTGACTGTGTGTTTTGTGGGTGAAACGCAGCAGTCAATTGCACACAGCAGTGTCCCACAAACAGTCGTTACAAATAATAATATAAATATATAATATTTATCAATATAAACCTTTATATTCGTATAGAGCGTTAGTCAGACCCTATCTGGAGACTGCATTCAGTTTTGGGCACCACACTTCAGGAAAGATGTATGGCCCTGGAGTAGGTGCAGCACAGGCTCACCAGACTCTTAAAGAGTTAAGTTACAAGAAAGGCTGTGTAAACTTGGATTGTATTCCCTTGAGTTTAGAAGGTTGAGGGGGGATTTGATTGAGGTATTTAAGATGATAAAGGGATTCGATAGGGTAGATACAGAGAAGCTATTTCCTGTGGTGGGGAATCCAAAACAAGGGGCATAGTTTTAAAATTAGAACCAGGCCATTTGAGAGTGAAATCAGGAAGCATTTTTCTACTCAAAGGGTGGTAGAAATCTGGAATTTTCTCCCCCAAAAGGCTGTGGATGCTGGCTCCATCCACACCTTCAAGAGTGAGGTTGATAGATTTTTGGTAGGTCAGGGTATTAAGGGATATGGGGAGAAAGCAGGAAATTGGAATTGAAAGGATTAGTTGAGATACAGATCAGCCGTGAGCTAATTAAATGGCGGAACAGGCTCCAAGGGCTGAATGGCTTATTCCTGTTCCTCTGGATAAAGCGTTAGGGTTAGAAGAGAAAGATAAAATAATAATTCTTGTATTTGACACAGCCTTTGGCCTAGCCAACAATCCTCCAGATAAATTGATAATGTTGTCACCATCATGGCTTTGTTGTTCTGCACAAATAGTCACCACACTTCATTACTTCATCACCTGCAAAATGCTTTTGAGATGCTTCAGTGCTAATAGCGCATTAGCATTGAAGTCAGGGATGCAATAAGTATGATTAATAATAATTGCATTTCATATAGCCCCTTATCACATCTTTGAGACGTCTCAAAGCTTCACAGAATATACCACAACGTGAATAGACCATATATTTTGTGGGTGAAATGCGGCAGCCAATTGCGCACAGCAGTGTACCACAAACAGTCGTGGATTGAGTGACCAAATTATTATTATTTGGAGAGATTATTACCCCTGGAAAGCGATCCGCCAATCGACAAACAAGTGGGTTCCTACTTACTGCTGGGTAAATAGCGCGGTGTGTGTTTTAGAATGGCCAGAATTCTAATTGCGACAGAGCGCAAGGGAAGCCACTGACCTTTCTGCTCCAGGATGACGGACACGACGTCTGGGTGGTTGTAGGCGATGGCCATGTGGAGAGGCGTTTGCATGTGCAGGCCCTCGGTGGAGGTCTGGGCGGGTCCGGGGCAGGTGGGGAGGGGCTGGCTGGTCTGGATGTTGGGGTTGGCTCCATGGAGGAGGAGTTCCACGGTGAGACTAGCCAGGCCGTGTCGGCACGCGGTGTGCAGCGGAGTCTCACCCTGGCAGGTGCCACAACAGCAACAGGTTCAGAGAGAGAGAGAAGAAACTCAGTCAAAAACACTCACTGGGATAAACGGCTCTCAGAAACCGTGCAATGAGATGAACAACGCCAGGAAAAACACCACCAACAACAAATTGCATTCACACAGCGCCTTTCACATCAGGAGGAAGTCCCAAGGCCCTGGATGGTCAAGGATTTGGACCCGAACTGGGGGTTGGGATCAGGAAGGGTGGAGGTGGGGGGAAAAATGTTTACCCCTTACGCACCCGTGCCCCCAACTCACCCACTCGTTGTTGTGGTTGACCTTCGCCCCGTGAGCCACGAGGAAGAGGGCGGCTGCCTCGTTCTCTGTCTCTGCTGCCCTTTGTATCAGGCAGTTGCCTGGCAACAGAAAAAGGTGAAAAACCCTCAAACCCGAGTTAAAGTGGGAAGCCGGAGGAGGAGAGAGGGTTGGGAGAAAGGTGGGAAGAGGCTTTCTCCCAAAGGATTTCTCACCCGTCGAGTCTGGAGCGTCGGGGTTACTGCCACGTTTGATAAGTTTGGCCGCAAAACTGTTCTCGTCGAACGAGGTTCCGTTCATAACTGGGACGTCGTCGAAAGGATTCACCGACTGGTCAGAGTCTACGGTGATGTCCTGGAGGGCCAGCCACAGTGCTGTGCTCCCCGCATGGTCCTTCAGCTCCAGGTCACACCTGCAACAAATAACATTTCTATGTCTCTCTCTCTCTCTCTCCTCTCTCTCACACACACACACACACACACGCGCGAGTGTACCCATGGCAAACAGCTCAACATGGATCTTAGCATGTAACTTGATCACAAACATACACTTGCGCTCCACTATATTTAATGCTCCCACTTACTGTTTGCATTGCAGTAACTGCTGGAAGACGTGCTCGTTTCCAGTTATTATGGAGGTGTGCAAAGGCGTCCTGTGATTAGAGAGAGAGAGAGAAAGAAAGAGTTAGCATTCTGGTTTACAGCTGTGTCATGGCATCTTGCAGTAATACAAATACTTCCTTGAGGGAGTTAGCGTCAGCAGTAAAATAGTCAGCCAGCTTCGAGGCAAGCTGTCTGTAAAGATCTGCAGTCTGTGTCCCCAGGTCCCAGTGGCCAGGGCTGTTGGCAGGTCCTCTCGAGTTCAGTCTACGACAGAGGCCAACACAGATTCTAAACCAAACCATGCACATGCAACATAATTGGGGGGGTGTGGGAGGGGGGAGGAGAATTGGAGCATTTTCTTCAGCCAATCGTGTGAAGATCGACTTCAAATCCTCACACTCGTGTTCAAATTCATTCACCCCCTGGCACCTCCCGAATTCTCTGACCGCCTCATTCCCTAATCCACCACCCAACGCCTCCGCTCAACTGGCACCGGCCTCCTGCTCGTCCCTTGCACCCTCGGCCCCACCACTGGAGGTCGCGGTTTCAGCCTCTGCGCTCCAACGTTCTGGAACACTCTCTCTCAATCCCTCCACCTTACCCCCTCTTTCAAGTCCCTCCTGAAAACTTTCCTCTTCGACCGTGCTTATGGCCACCTCCCCACTCCCCCCAACCCCCCGGCTCAGAGTCCACTATTGTTAAGCGCTCTGAGACGCTACCCTGCATGGAGGGCGCTATATAAGGGCAAGTTGTTGTTGTTGACGTTTTGTAGTAAAATGATAGCTACAACAAGACTTCTGCAAACCAGACGCACAAAACACCGCCGGGCGTAGCACTGACCGTCCTTTGCTGTCTTGCATGTTGGAGTTGGCTCCGGCCTGTAAGAGGCCCTGTGCGATATGCGCCATCCCCGCCATGGCCTCTGTGGAGTGCTGCTTGGGGCTGTACGCAGCCACCAGGTGCAGCGGCGTCTCGTGTTCCACGCTTGTGGCCGCGTTTACGCGAGCCCTGTGCCGGATCAGGAACTGGGCCGAAAACTGGTCTCCTGGGGCCGGGGGACAGAAAATTAGAACCACACACCCACCTACACAGTCCTTGCATTTCACACAGCATCTATAACGTGGCAAAATGTTTCAAAACAGTAAACAAAAGGCAAAATACTGCAGATGTTGTCAATCTGTAATAGAAACAGAAGTCGCTGGGAACATTTAGCAGGTCAGGCAGCATCTGTGAAGAGAAGAAAGTGACCTTTGGTCATCGACCTGAAGCTTTAACTCACTTTCCTCTCTCCGTAGATGCTGCCTGAACTGCTGAGTGTTCCCAGCCACTTCTGCTTGTTTCAAAAACAATTGTTTAGTATGGTGATGAACACAGCAAAGCTCCATAAATAGGCCCAATTTCAGCGACCAAATGCACCCTGGATTTTTGACTCAACTTTCCATCTCTGGCTAAACTTGAAAAATAATTTATTATAGTCGCTGCATTTTAAATAGCGTCTCCCTAGGACACTGGGAGAGACTCGCTTCTCTTTGAGAAGTGGCTACAAATCAAATGCATTCTTACAACATCTTGCACCTTAACCTATCAGTTTAAATACATTTCAAAAAGATTTTACAATGGATATCTAATATTGTATTAGATATATGATATAATTTCACGATGTATAATGTTCCTGGAGCGAGCAGCAGACGATCGCTGACCACCTTTACCTCTCTGGATGGCCTTGTGAAGCAAACTCCAGCCGACTTTATCCAACATGTCAACGTCTGCCTTGTTATTGACCAAAGTGTTGGCGATGCTCTCCAGCTTCCTAGAGAGGGCGAGATCCAAGGCCAGGTCCCCGTTACTATCAAGCTCGTTCAACTTGCCGGGTAACTGCGAGAAACAGCAGAGATTATTAGTGAAACAAAATGATTTGACACCAGCAGGNAAAAAAATGACCAAAACAGCTCTGACTGTGGCCGGTGCTGCAGATCATGGAACGGGAGATTGCCGGTTCATATCTCAGTCCTTGCGGAGATTCTCAGAGCAAGTTAAATTGGCCATGGCTTTCCTAGGGTTAGGGAGGGGAGGGTTGTGGTTTCCCGGGCAGGGCGAAACCTCAGTGGAGTAAGTTTCCTCTGTTTACTTAGCAGAAGTAGGAACCCGGTTGTTAGTCGTTTGGCCGATCGCTTTCCGGGGATAATAACCCCTCAACAAAAAAAAATGATCACTCAATCCACACCTGTTTGTGGGACGCTGCTGCGCACAACTGGTTGCCAGGTTTCGCCCACAAAATACACAGTCAATCCACTTTACAATATATTCTGTGAAGTGCGTTGAGATGTCTCAACATCGTGAAAGGGCACTCTATCAAATGCAAGGATTATTATTATTATTACCTGGGAATCCATTTCGATGAGGAAAAGAAACACCACATCTTCTCGCTCCACTTTGATGGCTTTATGCAGAGGGAACTGCGTCTTGGACTTGATCATTTTGTATAACAGAGGAGCACTCATGCTGCTGAAATCATCCTTCCGAAGATCGTCCTGGAAGAAACACACCAAATTCACTCTCAGCTTAAATCGTGCAGCGAGTTTAACATTTTATCGAAGATTACTCATTATTTTAGTGTTCACATGTAAACGCACAGCAGGTCATATATCCCAAAGCGCAGTGGGTTTTATAACGGACAGTAAATCCTGTGTCACATGCCTTACACTGCTGAAGGGGCATCTCACAACACAAGCACTGGCAGTGAACATCTTAAGATTGACCCAGAGCCTGCCTCGTAATCTATGTTTATATATAACACGAAACCCCTCACAGACAACAAAGGGGGGAAAGAATCCAATTGAGATAGACATCCTGAGATGCTCCTTACTGGCTCCAAACCAAGAGAAACAGCCTAGGTTTCCTGACCACCTCACAGAAGGGAATTGGGGGTGCAAAGATTACAAGCCAGAGCAAAAACCACATACACAACCTGGTGGTTGATCTGTGTTTGATTTCTCTTCCTGCCACAAACTATAGGCACGGATCGCCTGGGTTTGTAAAAGTAATCGCCAGCAAACTTAACGCGAGCTTCTTCCAAGCACAGACGACTGGTAACGAAGAGGTGATGGATTGGGTTTACGATTGTGGAACAAGACAAAGCTTGTGTTCTGTGCTCTCCGTAGCATCCCCGCTTTACTCACCCAGTGGCTGGCTATGATCTCAGCACAGTAGTTCATTAGAGTGGTGGCGTCCAGCTCCTCCGCAGTCTGGTAGAATCGAATGCAGTTCCGAACATTGACCAGCGACATGACTCCCTTTTCACACCTATTGGCAGGAAACGTGGAGGAACGAGATTGGTTGTACTCCAGTCAGTGCTACAGTGTTCAATACCCAAGACAAGTCTGAATTGCCAACACAGTGTAAAGCAGAACAAGAGACCGAGAGAGAGAGCGACCGAGACCAAGAGGGAAGAGAGACACTGACACTAATCACAGCATTCGGTTCACCTTTCCCGGAGGAGAATCAGCTGATATCGATTGGCTAGTTTCATAAGCTCCGTCAGAAACACGTCATCTTCCTTGAGCTCGAGCTGGTCTGTATAAACCCATCGCAGCATTGCCATGGCCACCTCTGGCTCAGCACCTGGCAAAGGGAGGGGGGAAAAACAACCTGAACTATGGCTGAAACTTGCAGAGCAGGCCCGAGAAAGCAGGAGATGGAGAAAGAAAGGCACTCAGTGAGCTACTGGCTCTGCAATCACAATCCATAAAACTCCACAGCAAACAGGTTCCCCTCCTCATAGCGCTCTCAAATCAATGGCGCACATCCCACGAATGGTGAATTTCCAGGCGAGAGACAAGGGAAAGCCCACTCTCTAGAGCTTTCCCCTGCCCTCTGCATCGCTCGCCAGCCAACAGATCAGCCAGTTGACCCATTGCAAGGCCCGAGACGTTATTCTCGAGCCGGAAGGAAGTGCACAAGAACAGCTCATCTAACTCAAAGGCCTAGCAAAGGCTGAACACAGGGGGCTGAAATTCCAGCTAGTTTTAGAAAGCGCTTCTTAAAAAAAACACGGTGGAAAATTGGCAGTCAGTTAAAGAGTTTAACAACAACTTGCATTTTTAAAAAGTTTACATAGTGCCCTTTATGTAGGGTAGTGTCTCGGAACACTTAACAGTGACGGAGCCTGACGCCAAGCCAGGAGAGGCAGGAGGAGTTTAAAAAGTGTGCGCGTGTTAGATTCTAAAGAAAAAATGTTCTAACCCAGAGCACACAGTGTGAATGGTGGACTAACCAGACAGGTCCAGCTGGTGGACAGAGGCCAGGTTCGCTAGGCTCCAGGTCTCGCTGCGAGCGGCCAAGACAAACTTGTGACCATTCAGCATTTGATCTCCGACCTTGACCTTCAGATCACTGCAAAGTAAATCACGTAAAGGTGTGAAAGCGTAGCGTTTCTCCTCACTCATCACACACTCGCAAGTTCGTCACTGTATACACTTGGACCAGTCAAACGTATGCTAATCTCAGACATCCTCAGCCTCGGGGCAGCATCAGCCAGGCTTTGCATCACCAGTCAAGTATATTGATTTCTGCTCCAGAGCATTGAACCTTCAAAAGGAATAGCTAACGACGACTCTTTTATCTCCCCGCACAGAGTCAGGCTGCATCCTTACGAACCAAGATGCAGGATAAAAACTATTTGGTTCGGGATGCTCCGTGGTCTTGAGTTACACAAGAGCCACAATTATAATTGCAGAAGATCAGGGCTGTGTGCATCCCTGCACACCTGGCCGCCAGCTTTACATTAACAAAGTAAAAAAAAAGCATCCCTCAGATCGGTTCAAAGGGACCTTTCTAGGCCTTGAAATACTACAGTGAAATCCGCAGTGTGTGTTTCCATCAGTACTTCCGACAACCAGTTACCTTCTTATTCACGGCTGTTCTTACTGCTGCTACCCAGTGGGAATAATTACAGCAGATCTGCCAACAAACCGAGGCTCACACAACAATGCCTGCTGCTTTATACAGGAGCAGCGGTGAGGGGAGAGAGCGGTAGAGAGGGTCCCATCTGGACTGGCTCAAGCTCATCCAACAACTGAATCATCCACTCACGGTTATAATTTCGAAACAGCTATTACAGACAGCGAATAGCGCATGGGCCTAATTGACTAGCAGTAAGTAAGAATCTGGTGGTTAGTCGATTGGCAGATCGCTTTCTGGTGGGTAATAATACATTTTTTTCAAAAAATGTGGTCACTCAACTGTTTATGGGACACTGCGTGCGCAATTGGCTGCCGCGTTTGGCCCATATAATACAGTCACTCCATTTTACAGGATATTCTGTGAAGTGTTTTGAGACATCTCAACGACGTGATAAGGCGCTGTATCAAATGCAAGGTTTATTAATATTATTATTATAATAACTAACAACGTAGTAGAAAGAGGTTCAACCCAGGCCGAGTGAAGATTTACTGCCCACAAGGTGGCTATGCACAAAACGCAAAACAGCGCTGCTCAGCAAGTCAGCGGGTCCACACTGCCCGGGCGGTGACAAGCCGTTACCTGTACTGCTCGTGCTGATAAAGCTCGGAGACGATGGACAGCAGCCGGCAAATGAAGGAGTCGCCACTGGTATCCTGGCTGGACACGGCCTCCAGCATGGCACATCTCTTCTCCGTGTCCGCCAACTTCTGCTGCATCTTCACGTACTCCTGCCGGAGCAGCGCCAGGTGCTTCTGCAGCTTGGTCACCTCCTCTGTGCGCGCGTGAGGGGGTGAGAGAGAACACAGCGACAACGTCAAAAACAAAAGATTAATGATCATGGGATTTTTTTTCAAATATTTATAAATGAATAAAATACATTTTTAAAATTTGGTCATTCAATCCACGGCTGTTTGTGGGACAGACGCTGCTGTGCACAATTGGCTGCTGCGTTTCGCCCACAAAATATACAGTCAATTCACTTTACAGTATATTCTTTGAAGCGTTTTAAGACATCCTAAAGACGTGATAAGGCACTATTTCAAATGCAAGAATTATTATTATTATTGTATTATTATTGTCCCGCACCAGGCTTCGGGATCACATCACTCCCACCCTCGCTCGCCTCCACTGGCTCCCCATCCCCCAGAGGATTGATTTCAAGATCCTCATCCTCACCTACAAGGCCATTCACGGCCTTGCTCCCTCCTACCTCTCCAACCTACTATCCCCCTACCTACCTGCCCGTACCCTCCGTTCCTCTGGCTCTGGTCTGCTCCACGTCCCCCGCCCCAACCGCCCTACCATCGGTGGTCGGGCCTTCAGCCTCTCAGCCCCAGGCTCTGGAACTCCATCCCCAGTGCCTTCGCCGCCTCCTCCTCTCCTCCTTCAAGGCCGGTCTCAAAACCTTTCTCTTTGACCGTGCCTTCAGCTCCCCTCTCGACTCTCTTCCTTCTCCTCGCTCCCTCCCTTCCCTCCCCTCACCCTGACCATTTCCCCCCTGCTCGGGTCATGACCCAACTGTGCAGCGCCTTGGGACGTCCTCCTGACGTGAAAGGCGCTTTATAAATGGAATCTTGTTGTTGTTGTTGTTATTATTTAAAAAAAACAAAGTTCATCTCGATTAATATATCCCAAATTTTAGCTGCTGTACTTGGGACAATTGTTAGCAATAAAATATATTCCAAAATATTAAGAACAGGGTGACACAGTCCAGCCTGAGACAGGGACTCGCATGACAACCAGGAATCACTTGTTGCAACGATAAGTTCGTCATTTTGGGGGTAGTTTTCTGACGTGAAAGATGCTATACAGATGTAACTTTGTATTGTATTTTACTTGGGAGATAGAAGAGCTCAACCCCAGTAACACTTCAAGGATAGGATCCTAGGGTATGGTCATTCTTTCCAAGGCTAATGTTACTTCCCCTGACAAGATGAGTGTTACAAACACGTAAACAGAGCTACAGCTCTCTCTCTAACAACAACAACAAAATTACATTTGTAAAGCACCTTTCACGTCGGGAGGACATCCCAAGGCCATGGACAGAGTTACGGATCTGAGCTGGGGATCGGGGTGGGGGAGGGTGGAGGGCAGTGTGGGAAGCAGGGAGATCAAAACTACCGTCGAAGAGGAGGGTCTTGAGACGGGTCTTGAAAGTGGCAAGGGAGGGAGCGAGGCGGAGGGACTGCGGGATGGAGTTCCAGAGGTGGGGGCAGAGTGGCGGAGCGAGCGAGGCGGGGAACGTGCGAGGTGGGGAACGTGAAGCAGGCCGGAGCCCGCTGAGCGGAGGGAGCGAGCAGAATGGAAGGGGGTTAGGAGGTTGCAGAGTTAGGGGGGAGTAAGACCATGGAGGGCTTTGAAGGTGAGGACCAGGATGTTGAACTGTGTGATGGGAAACCAGTGGAGTTGGGCGAGGATGAGGGTGATAGGGTCGTGGAGCCTGGTGCGGGAGAGGACACGGGCTGCAGAGTTCTGGATGATCTGCAGCCCATGGAGGTAGGAATTGGGGAGGCCGACAAGCAATGAGTTTGCATAGTCGAGCCTCAAAGTAATGAAGGTGTGTATGAGGGTCTCAGGGGCCTGCGGTGTGGGAGAGCGGTGGAGCCGGGCGACGTTGCGGAGGTGGGGGAAGGCAGAGCGGATCATGGCGCAGATGTGGGGTAGAAAGGATAGTTGAGAGTCAAACAAGATCCCAAGGTTCTGGACCGGCTTAGCAAGGTGGAGCGTGCAACCATGGATGGTGATGCTGTCAGCACCTGAGGTGGAAAGCAGGGAAACTGTGGTGGTTTGCCCCGCTATCTATGGTCACCTCCCACCCCGAAGATCTGCAGCACACCGCTGAAATATCATGAATGTAAAACTAAGATTAGTTTAATTTTTTTTCCCTCCCCACCAAAGAGATGCATTAAAAAGTTACTCAGGGAGGGAGGCGGGTGGGGGAGAGGGTTTGGAGGGAGAGGGGAGAGGGTGAGAAAGAAAGCACAGCAATACACAGACTGAGAAGACTGCCATCTTTCGGGAACTCCTGTTTTTTTAAGCAAAAAAAACCCACAGGTCACTGTGTCACAAGAGACTGTGCAAAACAGCATTTGTGTTGGTTCAGTAAATAATGTAATAGGCAAACAAATATGGCCAGAGGAAGGACCGCCCCTTCCCCCAGTGCAGTGGCTGCTGACAGATCAATTCTTCTGCATAATTCTCGCTAATTCAGAACTTCAGCCCTCACGCTCACTCCTTATTTTTTCCTTCCTCTGAAAAGTAAACTGTCATCGTGTTCCCCCTGCCCACCAAAACCCAGAGGTCACTTTCCAAGCCCAGTTCTCTGTCGTATTGCAAACAATATTTCCTTTCCAAACCTTCACTGCAGCAAGGTAACGATTAGAAAGTACCCCTACATTTGCTCACTCCTGTAATTGCCGTACACATGTTCACACCGTAGCTGCTAGTTCACAGGGACAAAAAGTTATCAAAAAGCCTAATGGGATGATGGCCTTTATCTCACGGCAGCTGGAATATAAAGGAGAGGAAATGATGCTTCAACTATATAGAGTCTGGTCAGACCCCCTCTGGAAACTGCGTTCAGTTTTGGGCACCACACCTCAAGAAAGATGAGGAAAGTTCTGGAGGGGGTGCAACACAGATTCACCAGAATGATAGTAGGGCTTAAAGGGTTAAATTATGAGGACAGATTGCATAAACGAGGTCGTTTATATGTTTGAGGTACAATCTAATTGAGATTTTTAAAATAATAAAGGGATTCGACAGGGTATCTACAGAGAAACTATTTCCTCTGGTAAGGGAATCCAAAACAAGGGGCATAATCTTAAATTTGGAGCTAAGCCATTTTAGAGTGAAATCAGGAGGCAGTTTTTCATACAAGGGGTAGTGGAAATCTTGAACTCTCTCCCTCAAAAGACTGTGGATTATGGCTGGATCCATTAAAATTTCAATTCTGAGGTGGATAGATATTTGTTAGGTCAGGGTATCAAGGGATATGGGGCAAGGGTGGGTAATTGGAGTTGCAGTACACATCAGCCGTGATCTTATAGAATGGCGGAACAGGCTCGAAGGGCTGATCGACCTATTCCTGCTTCTATGTTCCAGTTATCAATGACAATATAAAAAGGAAAGTGCAAGCAACTGGCTGATTTTCATAAAGCGCCTTCCTCGTCATCCGCAGCAAAAGCAGCCACAGTGCATTTGTGAGAGGGCATAGAATACCTCCTAGTCAGCCAGCCAGCTGCGAAAAGATCAACAATCAGCATGCACGAAAGACAAGAGTGATTATAACAACAACATTGTTCTGCAAAAAAACCTCAGCCATCAAGCTACGTTCACTTGTGATGGCCACCACCCCAGAGAAACGCACATGTCCCCCGAAATCCATCGTGGGCAACGAGCATCTTCAGTTCGGTGGATTCCATAAATGCAAAATGCAAGGATTATTATACCTTAAAAAAACCCAGCCTTCTTTATCAAGTTTACAAAAACAAACAGGTTGAGCAGTTCCGCTTCTCATGTCTATAGCTTCTAACTACAAAAAGAACCACCCCAAATGTTTGCATAATTTCACCCTCTGAAAGGCATGTCGACATTTTTCACTGTGAGGAAAAGTGATGGCGAAAGAAAAGGGAGGCGAAAGAAAAATAAAGAGTAATCACAGTACCATAATTTCAAAAGTGAAATTCTTAGAACNAAAAAAATTATAATTTAATGATTGAAAGAAATGCAGAATAAAACACAATATTTGGTAGACACTACAATTATAATTTTGTGTGCAATGGAGACTTAGGACATAAAGCTGATTACTTCAATAAACCCACAAGAATGGGGTTTACTACAAGTGGGTCTCTAATTAGTTTCATGTCTCTACATTTGCCAGGCAGAAATTGGGAAGCGCTAATTCTGGCAAAGTGGCAGTGGGATGTAACGGCTGGGAGACGAGCACCTTTAGAATTAATAATCCCCCAGGCTACAAAGGCAGCCTCTAACCTGCTGTGACACAGATTGATTGGTAAATCTCACTGCCCAACAGGGATGGCAGACAGAAGCCAAGCAATTCCCTGGGTACAAAGAGGAGGGGAAGCCAAGATGGATCACGCGATTCCTTTCAGCCTAATCGCCTAATCAGGTCCACGGAACAGAAAGATGAAACTGAGGCATGAAAACATATCTTTAAAAGTCCCTAAATTTGCTATGGCTGGATTCATATTTGGGAGGCCGTCTCGAAGCACTTCACACGTTTACTGTAACGTGTAGTGATTGTGATAGTCTCAGAAAGCCATACAGAATAGATAATGTTTAAAAGGGAAATGCATAAATATTTGGGGTGGGGGGAAATGAGAGTAATCTGACAATTGAGGAAAGGCTAGGAATTAGGACTTTTAAAATCCAAGATTTATATTTTAAAAAATCCTTGCACTTGATATACCACCTTATCGTGTCATTTAGACATCTCAAAGTGCTTCACAGGATATACTATAAAGTATAGCAACTGTGTATTTTGTGGGCAAACCATAGCTGTCAGCTGAACATAAGAACAGCAAGACGAAAGAAGGCCAAGGTCCATCCAGTTCACCTTCCAAGATCCTTGCAGTCGCACGCATGTATTATTTGTCATGTCCCAAACGGCTGTGGATGCTGGATCCATTTACATCGTCAAGACTGAGGTGGATAGATATTTGGATCCATTTACATCGTCAAGACTGAGGTGGATAGATATTTGGATCCATTTACATCGTCAAGACTGAGGCGGATAGATATTTGGATCCATTTACATCGTCAAGACTGAGGCGGATAGATATTTGGATCCATTTACATCGTCAAGACTGAGGTGGATAGATATTTGTTAGATCAGGGTATTAAAGGATACGGGAAAAGGTCGGTATAATTGGACTTTAGGTACAGATCAGTCATGATTTTATGGAACAGGCTTGAGTGGCCGAATGGCCTACTCCTGTTTCTAAACTCTATACTGTATCCCAAGATATTATTTCCTAAAAGAAATTGCACACAGCAGCATCCCACAAACGGCCACGGAGCGAGTGGCCAGTTTTATATGGAGGATTGTTGGCCAGGACACCGGGAGAGTGAGAAACAACCTTTTTTTAAAAAAAAATAAGAAATTAAGACAGCAATGGAACAAGTGTGATGGGCTGAATGGCCTCCTCTTCCCCCAGTTGCTGGGGAAGGAATGAGGAAAGACAGAAGACACAGAGAGAGAGACAGACAGACAGAAGTCCAGAACTAACTGCACCCTCTGACCTCCAGAATGAAACTGCACTTCACAAGTTACACAAATGCCGCTCTAATGTCGTGGCTGCAGAATGGAAGGCGATTCGGGGGCAAAGCAGAGAGAGAGAGAGGGAGGGAGTGAGGGGGTGAGAGAGAGAGGGAAGGGAGAGAGGGAGGGAAGGGAGAGAGGGAGTGAGGGGGTGAGAGAGAGAGGGAGGGAAGTTGGTGAGAGAGAGAGGGAAGGGAGAGAGGGAGGGAAGTTGGTGAGAGAGAGAGGGAAGGGAGAGAGGGAGTGAAGTTGGTGAGAGAGAGAGGGAAGGGAGAGAGGAAGGGAAGGGAGTGGGTGAGGGAGGAATGGGTGAGGGAGAGAGGGGGTGAGGGAGGTGGGAGGAATGGGTGAGGGAGGAGGGAGGGAGTGAGTGAAGGGGTGGGGGGGGGGTGAGAGGGGGGGGGGGCGAGGGGAGAGTGAGGGAGTGGGTGAGGGAGTAAGGGGGGGGGGAGGGGGGAGTGGGTGAGGGAGTGAGGGGGGGGTGAGGGGGGGTGAGTGAGTGGGTGGGGGGGGTGTGAGGGAGTGAGGGGGGGGTGAGGGAGTGAGGGAGTGGGTGAGGGGGTGTGAGGGAGTGAGGGAAGGGTGAGGGAGTGAGGGAGTGGGTGAGAGGGGGTGAGGGAGTGAGGGAGTAGGTGAGAGGGGGTGAGAGGGGGAGGAGACAGATCTGAGGTAAAGCCGGAGGTTGTGAGCAGCGGCTTCTCTCATGTACCCGGGGTTGGGGGGTCTGTGTCTCCCCCTCCCCTCCCCCCAGCCCCGGACCCTCCGCTTCTCGCCCCCCGGTCCCGGTGCCGGTGTCCGGCCTCGGCCTCGGCCCCACAGAGGCGCCGCCGCCCTCTTACCTTCCGCCATGTTGGCTGCTGACGATCGCGCGAACACTTCCCGCCTCTTAAAGCGACATCGACTCTTAAAGCGACACCGACTCCTGACCGCCCCCTCATTCAGGTCCACTCCTGATACACGCTCAGTCCAAGCGAAAATAGCTCAGTGACCCAATATCGAGGCTTTATACAGTCGCCTAATAACAATCCCTCCAAAACAAAACAATAATAAATTGGTCATTTTCAATCTACGGCTGTTTGTGGGACATTGCTGTGCGCAATCGGCCGCCGCGTTTCGCCCACAAATATACGGTCAATTCGCTTTACAGTCTATTCTGCGAAGCGCTTTGAGACGTCTACAAGACGTGAAAAGCGCTATATCAAATGAGAGGATTATTATTATTATTATTGTTGTTTTCAATCCAGGGGGGTTGAGGGAGGGGGAGTGAGGGGGGGGGGAGTGAGTGGGGGGAGAGAGTGAGGGAGGGGGAGAGTGAGGGGGGAGTGGGTGAGGGATGGGAGGGACTCTCTTTCAATCCCCTTTCAAAAAAAATAATCACTTGGTCACGGTATGAAATTGGCTGCCGCGTTTCACCCGTAAAATACAATTCACTTTACAGCATATTCTGTGAGACGCTCTGAGACGTCTCAATGATGTGATAAGGTGCTATATCAAATGCAAGGATTATTGTTGTTGTATTATTGTGAATGGGAAGCAGTTGGGTTATTGTCAGTAAGATGATATGTGATGATATAAGCCAGGGCCTCATTATCAGGAATTTGGGGGAGACATACGCATTCATAACATCCAGGCTTGACTACGCAAACTCCGTTTGTCGGCCTCCACAACTTTTTCTCCATAGGCTACAGATCATCCAGAACTCTGCAGCCCGTGTCCTCTCCCACACCAGGCTCTGCAAACCTATCACCCCCATCCTCGCCCGACTCCACTGGCTTCCCATCACACAGAGGATACAGCTCAAGATCCTGGTCCTCACCTTCAAAACCCTCTTCCTCTGCGACGTCCTAACCCCCTAACAATCTGCCCGCTCCCTCCGCTCAGTGAGCTTCAGCCTACTTCACGTCCCCCTCCTCGCCCACCCCACCATTGGTGGGTGGGCTTTCTGCCACTCTCCCCCACCCTCTGGAACTCCATCCTGTAGTCCTTCCACCTCCTTCAAGACTCGTCTCAAGATACTCCTCTTCGACCGTGCCTTCGGTCAGCCTCCTTCCCCTCACTGCTCTCCACCCTCCGATTCCAACCCCCAGCCCGGGTCTGAAACACTGACTGTCCAGTGCCTTGGGATGTCCTCCCGACGTGAAAGGCGCCATACAAACGTAATTTTGTTGTTGTTGTTGTTGTCTCTTCCTGCTAAAAAAAAATGTAGAAGATGCACTGCCAAATTTTGTGTTAGGAAAACATTTTCCCATTGAAAAGTAACATTGCTTCAGGGAAATTGAAAGCCAAAGATTGCCGTTTATTCCGTAGAGGGCTTGCATTTACAGATCCGTTGTCCACAATTGGGTGCTTTTGTGTGTCGGTGGTGTGCACCTCTGCCATAGCTAGAGATGTGAATGTGTGTACACCGTTAAATTGTTTTTAATAAGAGCAAAATAAATCCAATATAGTGGACCATTTAGCTCCTCAGGTCTGTGCCACAACTTTTTATTTTTCAAAAACTTCCCCCTTTTTTATTAACCCCACATTTGATCTTTCCTCCGTAGACCCTAATGATTTTGGATAGAAATGTCGATTTTAAATTATTAGATTGTTATTAGGTTAAATAATTTTTTTTTAAAAAAGTAGAGGAGCATAAGAAAAAAGATCAAGGTCCATCTAGTTCGCCTTCCATCTTACTGGCGGTCGCATGCACATATGTCCCAAATCAACTATGTACTGTATCCCATAATGTTATTTCGTTCAAATCCTAAGCTTGGCGCGAGAATTTTATTTTATTTTTTAAGCAAACGATTTTAAGTCACCTTCGGCCGCAGCTGATTGTTTGTAATTATTAGTAGTATTGTTATTATGTGGAGTCCTGTGGCTCAGTGGTTAGAGCACTCGCTTTGCAAGCAAGAGACCCAAGTTCAATTCCAGGCAGAGGGTGAAACCTTGGGCAAGTTTCCTTACTCCACACAGAGCCTAATAATAATCCTCCAAAACAATAATAAATTGGTCATTTTCAATCTACGACTGTTTGTGGGACATTGCTGTGCGCAATTGGCTGCCGCGTTCGCCCACAAATATACAGTCAATTCACTTTACAGTGTGTTCTGTGAAGCGCTTTGGGACGTCCTCCCGACGTGAAAAGCGCTATATCAAATGCAAGGATTATTATTATTATTATTATTTCCTAAAAGAAAACCATCTAATCCGTGTTTGAAAGAATCAACACTTCCTGCTTCAACCATCTCCAACAGTTTCACTCTTCACTCACTGAAATAGTGTTTGCAGAGATTCATTCTGAATTTCCCCCCTTCAATCGCGGGCCGTGTCCTCTGGTTTTACTATTCTGGACAAGTTGAAGCAGCCGGTCACAATCTATATTGTTTTGCCCCTTTAGAATCTTAAAGACAGCAATCGTGTTGTCTCTCAATCTTCTCTTTTCCAGCGTGAACATGCCCAATTTACTTAGTCTCTCCTCAGAACCCAGTCCTTCCATTCCCTCAATGATTTTGTATCTTCTTGATTTCTCCAATATCCTTTTTGTACTGCAGCAACTAGAACTGTACACAGTACTGTAAGTACAATCTCAACAATGATTTATAGTGGCAGGATTACCCCACTATTTCTGCTTGCTCTTGATATTTTGATACATCCCATCACAGAGCATTGTTGGGAGAGCTTCAATTTATTGTCAATCAGGACTCCCTGGTCCTTTTATTTTCCATACATATTGTTTTCCTTCCGTTCAAATAATAATCCCTTCCAAGATTTTTTTTGTCCCCATGTGAAGTACTTTACATTTCTCCACATTGAATTTCATCTGCCACCAATCTGCCCAATGAATGATTCATTTTTTGTAAAAAAAAAGCAACTCACTGAAGTGAAATCAAAGGCCTTGAAGTTTATTACAAACCCTACAGCATATTTCTGTGATAGAAAATCAGGCTCGACGCTGTACCTGTGCACTTGTCAAGTTTCACTGGTTTGTGAATGTAAGATTGTGACCACTTCCAGTGAATCAGAACAGCTCTGTTTGTTTCAATGGGTTTCAAAAAATGTGTCTCAGTTCTTTTTTGTGATCAGTGTTTGTTTGTTCAATACCAGTCGTGTTCACAGTGAAGCTCTGGCCAGCTTTACAGAGCTCTGAGCAACTGGATATCAATGTCCATGTGTAGCACAGAGGGAAGAGGGCGCTGTAAAGCGGAGGAGGTAACTGCAAGTTTAAATGCCTTCTTATGAATCATCACGATTATGAATCATACAGAACCACAATGCAAATTGACTTGCAATTAATGGATTAACTCAAGTCAGAGTGAAGTAACGTCACCCATCTCTGATGCTTTATGTCCTGTAGAATAATGGTTAAGAGCATTCACCTCAAGTTAAGGACCCGGTTCGATTCCCAGGCGGGGTGAAACCTTAGGCACGTTTCCTTACTCTACACGTATCAGTTTATCTACCAGTAAGTAGGAATCTGGGTAGCAGATCAGTTGATTGGCAGATCATTCTCCTAGGGTCATAATACCGTAAAAATTTGGTCACTCAATCCACAACTGTTTATGGGACACTGTTGGGACTAATTGGCTGCTGTTTTTCACCTACAAAATATTCAATGTACAGCATATTCTGTGAAGTGCTTTGAGACATCTCAGCAACATAAGGCACTATATTGAATGCGAGGATTATGATAAGTAACTTGAGTCAGGATGAAGGAACAACACCAATCTCTTGATGCTTTACGTCTATGGAGAGGAGGGGCATGTATGTGTGTGTGTGCGTATGTGAATCATTCAGGAGTTGCTTCTTCAATCAAACTTGTAACCAAAGAATATTTAGAGCTAGAAAAACCAGTGTTGTCTCCACCCATCTCAACTCCCACCTTCTCACCACAAATGGTCCAACCCTTACCCTGCAGAAATCTATCTTAGTGTCTCATTGATAGGGTTTGCTTGTCAACTCTTGTGCAGAATAGTCGTGTCTAATGACCCCTCTTACTCTTTCATTACAAATTGGTGAGTAGCAAGAGGAGAAATCTGATGAGAAGGAAATTGATCTGCCTTGGAGTGACAATATTCAGCTTCACTGGAAGAGCAGGCACTGACATTAGGATGGAATTGCCTCCTGGTATGTCAGTTGTGTGGTACATACTGTGACATAGCATAAAGACAGTTTGGTTGCAGATTTGAAACATCTCATTTCCTAGCATTAGCCATTAAGAATGCTCCCAGGAACACTGACATTTCATCCACATGTTTGCACCTAGGGTCTGCACCACCATTTGGGTTTGTGGCAGCAGGTCCCAATAGTTTTGTTTTCAGATGTTGTACGAATCAGTTAAAAATTGAGCCCACGACCGAGAAGGTTGCATGCACGCGCACATAATTCCAGACAAGAGCCAAAGTATTGGAAAACAATTATATTTTGGAAGAACTTTCACTACTGGTGACAGAACTCCAAAAATCAAATTACATGAAAATATACATCACCATTTGTCTTTGTACATCAGGCAGAAAGTCTGCAGTTAGCAGCTAGAAAGGAAAAAAAGCACACAACAGCATTTCTTTTTAATACCAAAAGAATCCTCAAACTGCCCACTTAGAAGGGTGAAAGCCTACACCTAAACACGCGTGAAATCTACTCCAGACACCACAAAAACAAGCTCGTAAAACATCTACTTCATCTGAGTCGGGCAGCGAAGACTAATGAGGTCACCATGGCTAAATTCAGATTCAGGTCTAAACTTCAACCCCGTTAAAATTATTGGAAAACTAAACGTATTTTGCATTCTAAATATTTGCACGTCTGCAATTTTGCGATTATTCAGGCCTAAAATTTTTTGCAGGCGTTGAGGGCATCAATGCAGTGGTTAGAATATCTGCCATAAATATTTTGCGACTGAGGCAATTTGGAAGTTGAAAAATGCAACCTTTACTTTTACAGTGTAAGACGCTTTTTTTTTTTACGAGACTTGGTTTTATAGTAAACCTGGGAAAAATGAATGCACAAAGCCCCCTTCCTAAAATCTTTCAGAATTTACACGATTCTCTTAACTACAAGCAAGCTATAATTTGGTACAATGCGTATTGTGGGTGTTTAAGTACGGTGTATAGAATATCTGGATAATGTTGTGCTATGTACAGGTTTTACAATTCTTCCTGAAGATCAAAGCAGTTCACAGGAATCCTGATGCAATGTCATTTAGTTTCCCCTCAAGTTGGCACGTTTGGCTTCACTCCACATCGAGGATGGCATAATTCATTCACAGCCCCAGGATGCCAATCCAGGATTGCCAGCTTCTTACCAGTTTGAAGAGAAATCCAACAATTGGTGAGTTGAGTGCAGAAAATCAACAGTGCCACGTTTCTCAATTGGAGACCTGCAACTCAAAACACCCCATTAGTTATTGTGCAATTCAATCTATTACATCATCTAGTTACTCCCCCATAAGTGCCAAAATGGGCTTACATTACCCCCACCCATTTGCTGTGAAGTACAATTTGTTGTTGGTGGGGGGGGGAGATGAAGCAATGCTTAGTATCTGAACACAGAAAGACAAAATTAGACCTTATAGTAGGAGAGGATCTCTACAACCCAACAGATACAATCAGAAGCTTGATGCATGTACTCTTTCTATTTAAAAAGTCAAAGCAGCAAATTCAACTTTTTATTCTCATTATTTGGGTGCGATTTGCACTTAGAGAATCATAACAATATTATTCTGGCTCCAAGAGAACCCAGAATCAAAGTTGTGGGGCGCTGTGCATCGAAATCCCAGAAAGCACACCAGTTTCTTCACCACCTTCATGTGAACAGAGACTCCAAGATTTCTGCAGTTTAGTGAGAAAATCCCATGGGTTTCAGAACATCCAAACCTACAGTTTCTCAGAACCACCAACAAAATTCCAGCACCAGAAACATTATAGCAGTGACTATACAACAGTAGATCAGCAGTAGGTTCTCTCAAGCCAAATGCAGAACTGCACCAAGATTCCCTCCCAATGCACTGAGCAAAATAACTACTAGTTTGCAAGAACACCTACTGAACTCTCAATTTGATCCGGGAGAGGTGCACAAAGTGCTTAGCTAATTGAATTCCCTCAGGCAATTACACTTTAACTTGATTAACCCAATTTGCATGGCTGTAGAGCTCACAAGGTTTCGGTACTATACAAACCTAAAGAATATACAGTAAGAATGATGTGGCCTGTGCCAGAGAAAGCATATTCTTTAAAGGGCTTATGTCTGTCTTACAACTAAAAGAAACGTATGTTTTGACAAGTCAGCTGTAGATAAAAGGTATTAATTCTGAGAATCTTCAGAAAGATTCATTCGCCTGCAATCATTTTACAATAAGCCTTCAAAACTGTCTTACAGTCTGTACTAGACATGGAAAATCCAGCTCTCCAGCCCAGCAGAATAAACTTTCCTGGAGGCAGTGCATTGTGCTGAAAGTCATCACTTGAAGGACATACAACTATATTTAGCTGTGCGTTTGGCCAAAAAACAAACTTGGGGAAGAATAGAATAAGCTCCATGCCACTACAAGCTCCAAAGGAAACATGTGCAGTCTCCCTGGGGCATTTGCTAAGAAGGCCATGACACTTCGTGTGAAATAAGAGCAATTACTTCTTCATCCTGCACCCTATGGAATAGCAGTACATACTGTGTGTTAGCAACTCAATATTCTCGCTCACTTTTATACAATACACACAGTATTTGGATCGATATAAATAGGACGACAATAGTCCAGACACGAATGCTACCTGGGTCCAGGAGCTACTTTGCACACATTAAGTTAGTTCAGATTTATAGGTTAATCATTACAACAGTTACTGATTAATGTTTCCCCGTGATTTAGGTTGTAAAAATGTGTACTCGAGAGAATACAAAACAGGGGAAATAAAATCAAGAGCATCCCTGGAGCAGTCAGTGCTGGTGAGGATACACCAAGACCAGTGGTGGCCAACACTCATAAAAAAACTGATCTCTACCGATCGAATACGGACTTACCTAGAATTGTGTGAATGTTCGGGGGCCGCTTCTTGACGGCCCCTTGGGCTACAGGTTGGCCACCATTGACCTAGACTTTGATCCATTACCTCTCTCTCACTTGCTAGATAACAAGCAAAAGTAGTGCACGGTTGTAATTTCATCTCTTGGTTCACAACAAGGCCACAGAGAGGGTACAGAGGAGATTCACTAGGATAATCGCAAGTATGAGAGACTAAAAGGAGAAGCTGGACTGTTAGCGCTAGAGTAGAGAAGGCTAAGAGGGATTTTCGTAAGGCACATACATAGGGAGAAACTAATTCCACTGATTGATGTTGATAACAAAGCGCAAGATCATTACATTCATCACTAAATAATAGAGGTAAAGAAAATTTGTACACAGCGGGTTATTAGAACATGGCATGACCTACCAAAAATACTGTCGTAGCAGAATCCATAATAGGTTTTAAAACAGAATTTGATGAATAATGGAAATACAAATTAAAAAATGACGGGTAAAAAAGGATCTTTTAAAGAGCCAGGCAGGTAAGAAGGGGCAGAAGGTCTCTTTTGTGTTGCAATATTCTACAATTCTATAAGAGCAAAAACCCAGGGCAGTTGAAGATGTCATTCACAATTAAATCACTCGTCATTTGACATCTTCTACTGACCAATGTGCTACAAGTTCACTAAGATCACAATATGGCAGAAGACTTGCACAAAGTTCAGCACTTACTTACCCTGAAGAGTGAAACTTCCAGAAGAACACGCGTCACTCAAAGGCAGTCTCTTGGCTTTTTCTTACACAGCGGGCAACTTTCCTTTTGAATTCACCGTTACGGTCTTCCCTCCATTCTTTCTGCAGGTTTCAAGAGGAGCAAAACCGTAAAGGCTCAGACTTCCCAAAGAACAAACAGCAACATCCCAGTGTATTAATAATAATCCTTGCATTTGATATAATGCTTTTCGCGTCTTCTGGATTGAGTGACTTTGAAGGATTATTATCCCTGGAAAAGCGATCTGCCAATTGACTAACAGCTAGGTTCCTACTTACTGCTAGGTAAACAGAGGTGTGTGGAGTAAGGAGACTTGGCCAGCATTTCGCCCTGCCGGGAACTGAACCCAGGTCTCTCGCTTGCGAGGCGAGTGCTCTAACTGCTGAGTTACAGGACTGCACGAGTAATAATTTAGTATTACAATAATAAAATCACATTTGTATAATGCCTTTCACGTCAGAAGGATGTCCCAAGGCGCTGGACAATCAATGTAAATTATTATATAGTAAAATGAATGCAAGCTGAATTTAGTCACCATGCCAAGATTCAAAAATATTTTCTACATTTTACAATTTAGCACCACTCACTTATATGAAAAATGAAACTAGGACCAGGGAAGGATCGATTTGTCAGCTAGCAGATTTCTAAAGAGCAAATGCATTTGAAACAGTGCTACAAAACTAAAGCAGTGCTGGGAGGAACAGTCATTAGATTTGAGGCCCTCTCTCCAGTTTAAAATAGCTTATATAATAATACTTGCATTTGACATAGCGCCTTATCACATTCTTGAGACTTCTCAAAGAGCTTCACAGAATATATTGTAAAGTGAATTGACTGTATATTTTGTGGCGAAAGATGGCAGCCAATTGCCACAGTAGTCTCACAAACAATCGTGGATTGATCAAATTATTATTGTTTTTTAAAAATTCTCCCAAGCACTGAACTGTCTAAATTATATACATAACCCACAACCTTCTGAACCAGAGGCGAGACCACCAGCATCCACCGTTCTCAGATTGATTCTTTAATGTAAAAGTTTGAGTGTTGAAAGTAGAGCACAATAGCATTTGCAGAGATTCACTTCCGATAAAACTCTCTTACCGCTGCATCTACATTGGCTGGTGAGTCTCCATTTGGATCTGCCAACATTGAAATGACACTAATAAGGATGGTCTCCACCGTGTGGATTGGGAGCCAGCGTTCCTCTGGCTTTTCATATCCATACTTATCCTCTCCAGGCTCATGAAGGATAGAGATGCACACATCACCATTTTTGTCAACTGCAACAAAAAAACACTACTTTAACCACCAAATAAATACAACTTGTAATTATAGAAGCACCTGTCGCACAGGATGGTATCTCAAAGCGGAATCTGAATGCTAATAATCCATTGTCAAAAAAGAACGGCTTGCAAAAACTAAGTCCCACAAAAAAGCCACTTTATCTTGAGGATTTTGTCCAGGCCAAGTCAACATAGAGCTGTCATGCCTTGCTTTTAGTGCTAGCACTCATCAAAGCAGTCATACTGCAGCATCATCTCCCAAACAATAATAATAATCCTTGCATTTGATATAGCACCTTATCACATCTTTGAGACATCTCAAAGCGCTTCACAGAATATACTGTAAAGGGAATTGACTGTATATTTTGTGGGCAAAACACGACAGCTAATTGCACACAGCAATGTCCCATAAACAGTCATGGCTGGAAGTGACCAATTTATTATTGATTGATTTATTTATATATAAAGAATTATTATCCCCGGAAATGTGATCCACCAACTAACAACCGGGTTCCTACTTACTGCTAGGTAAACAGAGGTGTGGAGTAAGGAAACTTGCCTAACATTTTGCCTTGCCAGGAATCAAACCTAGGTCTCTCGCTTGCGAGGCAAATGCTCTAACCACTAAACTACAGGACTACTCGTAACTATTTATTTGAGGAAGCACGTTGTCTACTATTTTGAAGACAACTATAACCAGGCGCTGGAACATTACACTCATTACTTTTCCACACAACAAATTGCGTTTCAAGATAGGCACTAACACATTTTCCCAAAGCATTGGCAATTACAACATAAGAATTTGCTCGGCAAAAGAAGACCGAGGTCCATCCAGTTCGCCTTTCACCATCCTTGGAGTCGCTTGACATGTCATGTCCCAAACTATATATTGTAATCAGATATTATTTTCCACAGAAATCTATCTTATTAGTCCTTGAAACAACACTTTCTGCTTCCACCATCTCCCTAGGGAGCCTGTTCCACACGTTTATTACTCGCTCACTGAAGTAGTGTTTCCACAGATTTGTTATAAATTGATCACCGGCCATATCCTCTGTTTCTACTGTTAATATAAATCACTCATCGATGCTGTGCCACCATTTCAATGCTGAGCTCTCACCGTTTGGATGCCAGATTTCTGTGATGAATTTCATCTTTGGCGGCCTCAGAGGATAGTCTTTGGGGAAGGTGAGATGAGCTTTGAACACACCGCCTTCACTGCAAGTAAAGACACTATTATTTTTTCAGGCAATAGAAAAGGTTGGGTGGAATTTGACAAAAACAAATACTTAATGAGATATCACACAAATTTTCTTAACAAGAAACATCCAGCACACCATCCCCCACCAGACAAAAGTATAAAAGACTCCATGAAAAAACAGATAAATACAACTTGCATTTATATAGCACCCTGCACGCAGGGTGGTGTCACAAAGAGGAACTTCAGAACGCTAATAATGCTTGCATTGGATATGTTCAAAGTCCTGTACAACTCTACATTGCCTGCATGGCCACTAGCTCTAAATGTTGGTTTCAGTGATCAGCAATTCTACAGTCTAACCCAAGGCGTAATCACCTCTTAGTAACGAATCCTGAAAGGCAGTGCTGATCACGGTGCTCCAATTTATTATTGAGCACGATTCCAAACAACAATAATAATAATCCATGCACTCAATATAGCGTCTTATCACGTCATTGACACATCTCAAAGCGCTTTACAGAATATATTGTAAAGTGGAGCGACTGTATTTTGGGTGAAACGCAGCAGCCAATTATGCTCAGCAGTGTCCCACAAACAGTCGAGGATTAAGTGACCACATTTTGGGGGGTGGGGGAAAGAAGAGATGGAGGGATTATTACCCCTGGAAAGCATCCACCAATTAACTTACAACCAATGAATGATCAGCTAAACAAGTAATGAATCAAAGTTTTCAATACCTGTATTAGAAATAGGTAGCAATGCTCTAGATTACAATAGCAAACATTTATATAGCGCATCCTGCTCGACAATGGCCGAGTCTGCCTCCAAGGCAGGGGATAGAGAGGGGGAGAGAAGATGATCATAAGCCCGATCGAAAAGGAAGACCTTTAGGCGGGATTTGAAAGTGGGGAGTGATGGGGCAAAACGGAGGAATTGGGTGAATTCCAGAGTTTCGGGGCATAGTGGCTGAAGGCATGTCCACCAATGGTGGAGTAGAGGGAACAAGGGACAAACAGGAGGCCAGAGCCAGTCGAGTGGAAGCAGCGGGTGGTGGAGTGGGGGTAAGCAAATCGGATAGGTAGGGAGTTGCCAGGGCATGAAGGGATTTGAAAACAAGTGAAAGGATCTTGAAATCGATCTGTTTGGAAATTGAATGTCAATGGAGTCTGGCAAGGACTGGTGGGATGGGGATACAGAGTTTTGTGTGGGCTTTTGAGTTGGTTGAATTTTGTGTATGATGGAGCTGGGGAGACCAGCGAGCAGGGCATTGGAATAATCCAGCAGGGAAGTGACAATGGTGTGGACAAGGGCTTTGGCTTCTTTGGGTTAGTTTATTGCATGAGTCACAAAATCTCTTTGAAGCATAGCCTTTCCCAAAACAGATGAAGTCTTAATACTTACTAGAGAGTGTCAGGAGGGCCTATGATAAGCACTTCCCATCGGTATAGGTCATTGTCATCGATCAAACCCGCTGAAAACCCATCAACAGGATTCTTGTTCAGCTCTGGAATGACAAGTGCAAACAAGCGTGAGATAATTAAATACTTCTCGCACACAGTATACAAGAATCCACACACAACTAGTTACATCACCAAGGACTTGTCTAGATTCGTAGCTGCACTGTTAACCGAATAAAAGACTGGTGGCTCACCTGTCAGCTCCATTGAAACTAATCTCTGCACAGAAATCTCTTCCAAAACCACACGCAGCCTGGTTGCCTCTCTACCTCAAAACATCTCTTGGCATCCAATAGAATATTTTAAGAATGTTTTGAGACAATTATTTACACAAAAGTGACTCTCAAAATGTTTTGTGTTTATTGGATACGAAATTGCATTCTTACCTGATGGTCACACGGCTATATTTTTAAAACTGTCTCAAATTTGGGAGCTGTGCAACTGCTGTAGTCCTCCAGCCTAACCCGGGGGGGGGGGGGGGGGGGTTGACCAATCACCAAGAGGGCAAAGGCGCTCTGAATGCAAGTGCGAAAAGTACTTCACATTGATCAGTTGCATTGAAACTCAATTTCAAAGCAGTTTTGATTACACCATTAACTGGTTTATAAAAAATACACCGGTTTACAAAAACAAAATCACAGCTGTAGCTTGAGCGTCCAGGAATTCAGCACATGCAATCTCTCAACTGATCAAGCTTAAAAAGGTTCTGTCTGGACGATGACAGTGCAGTCGCAAAGATGACTCATTTTCTCGTGATCTACGTACTACAAGTATGATCTGCCAGACACGTGGTAACTAGTGGAGCCAATCTGGGACAATCAGTCAAACCTGCACTGATATTCCCCAAGGCAATTTCTCACTCACTATTGCACACACTCGCAATTGCTCAAAGGTTTTCTACGTTTCCTTTCAGCCATACATGACTTCAATGCAAGCATTAAACGGAAAATGTCTTTACCAGGCGATAACTGCAAACACATTTGAAATTAATAGATCAATAATATGAAGTGTACAAAAGATTTAATAGCTGCAATCAAATAATCCTTGCATTTGACAATTTACAGGTACCTACAACTTTGAAAAACCTCAGGGCTTCATAGGTCAGGTGCAGTGTCTAATACCTTTATATTAAACCAAAAACCATTTAATTCCCATATACCACTGATTGTTGAGTAACTTTTTTTTAAAAAAGGCATTTCACAAACATAAGGTGAACAAGTGCCCAACAGCCACAAGATAAAGTAGGTCGAGCAGAGCAGGGTCGGACAGCTCAGTTTCCTTCCGCGCACACCGGGTCACAGCACGCTCTGTAGTTTCAGCTATTGGCAAGATGATTTAACTTCTACAGACTCAGCACACACCCTGACTTAAGGAGGACACCACATCCCGTCAAAATAAAACTATTCCCAACCAGTCAACGTTCCCACATACAGCACCTCACCTCAACCCTCAGGAACAAAAACAGGACTCGATGTGTGAACAAAGCATTGCTCAACTTCAAATATAAATTGATTTCAAATTCTGATTTCCGAGCTGTTGCATATGAAAAAAAATGACATTTAACTGACAGACTATTGTTCAACAG